AAACAACAAAAAGAACTCTGCAGAAACACAAAGACAGATTGCAAAGAGATAGTCGACTGAGGCGGAAGCAACTTATTACGCAAAACGGAAACAATCAACTACACAAAAGATAACAGAACGTGCTGAGCATGAAGGATGCGAGTGAAAGCTAAAGACATAACAGAGTACCGAACAGCAGAGGACACACATCAACGGCAGAGAGACAGAGCAAGAGAGCACGAAAGTGAGAAAGGGAGAAAGGCAGCGAGCAGCGAGCGAGAGCGCCAAATTGATTGTCAAGCAACAAAGAGAGCACAACGAGAACACAAGTCAAGAGTGCACGTTTCGAGAGTGTACGACGAGCAGATACCTTGTACATGTATACTCTTTTGCTAATTTCTTATATTCCAAATTTAATCAAGAATCATTAGCTGTCATTTCTTTGCGCAGTAACTTCGTATATGTGTAAATTGTTGCGAAATTTGTTATTTATTTATTATTCTACTCGTTGTCACACTAAGAACAATTTGCAGTTATTTCATTTTTTCGTTAATTATTTTTTGATTTAATGCAAAGTGCAGCATTAATTTCAATCAGTGCCGTTACTGTTGCTTGTTACAGGGTAACAAGAGTGGCAAGTGTCAGCGTTATGTCACCGAACGTAACGGCAATAAAATTTATACTATTCCTTTTGTTATTGCTTTCAATGTTGTTGCTGTTGTTGTTGTTCTTGCTTTGGCAGCGTTATCATTTCATTAAATCAAAAATACGAATAATGAACAAAAGACAAAGCGCAAAACTTCGTTGGATTGAGACTCCCCCTCCCTCTCCCCACCCCACACTATCATCCAGCATTGAGTGCTGCCAATTCAATGTAAATCAAAAGTGACTCCAAAATGAATATGAATGAACCAGCCAGCAGCAAGGTAAGTGTGAGTGAGCAGGACACGTACCGATGGGCGGTGGAAAGGGGACAAGGGGACAGCTGCACTCAGACTTTTGTTGAGCAGGTTCCAATAAAAGTTTAGGGCGTCAGTTGAAAGATGTTAATGAAGCTATCGCATAAATGGTATGCAGTTTAGCTGATGTCAATTGTGCGACTGACTACAATGGAAAATGAAAAGTGGCAAATGGAAAATGGAAAATTGTGCAATTATTGTTGATGTTGAAGAGCTTTCGAAGTATTTGAGCAATTATCATGTTAAGAACAAAGCACTTTGTGAATCACCTTCAATCAATGAATGCCCAATTGTCAGATTGGCATGCTCACAAAATGATGTGCAAATCGACCCCTTCATAAAACTTATGGAAGCTATAAAGTTTAGAAAGGATATTGCCAGAGACTATTTATTGTGCGAACTAAACTAGCAACCCCTAATATTGCACCATAAATTGAAGATTTATGCGCTGGCTGTCCGAAGCCAACCACAAAATAGTCAATATCAATTACGGCTCTAAAACCACTCTCAATTTTCAGAGACTGTCCATCAATCAATCAAAACTTCCATTTTTCCACGTTTGTTGCGGGAAGTTAATAAAAAACATTACACTGCACCACATAAACAGCGAGTGGCGGCCAGCACATAAATAACTCACTTATGGAGCTAATTACACTTAATTCAATTTTATTGGCCCAACAGAAAGACAGGAAAACTGCTGGCCAATGTTGATACTGATCTGCGATGTTGTTGCTATCGTTATTATTGCTGTTGACGTGCAGCAATTACAAAGGCAACAAAATGCAACGACAAAACTGCCACCGGCGACAACTAGAAACGTATGCCACAAAAGTTGCACAATTAGCGCCGCTGCAAATGGAAAAAAAAAAACTCGAGAGACCCACAAGTCTCTCGACACCCACGCTAAATTGTGTGGCTCGTGTTGCAGCTTGCAGTCTGGGAGTAGTCTCAGAACCAGCCACAGACCTGTCACCAGTTGCATGCAGCCACAAGCGCACTGCCCACAACGAGTGTTGCATGCAGCTAACTCGAGTGTTGAATGTTGAAAAATAATATGCGAATGGAAATGAAGGGAGAGAAAAACAAGGGAACAGTTTGAAGACAAATTTAAACTAAATATTTCAAAATTACTCGATTCTTGGCATAATTATTATGTGATAAATCAAAGATCTCTCAAAGCAAGTCAAACCATTAAGTATATACAAGAAAAGTCAAACCATTAAGTATATACAAGAAAAGTCAATCTATTAAATATATACAAGATCATTTTTGTTGGCTCAAGTTCAACACATATTTTGAAGCCAATAAATATTGAATCCCTAAACAGGATGTCAACATGATGTCGCCAGTTTGTGGCACTTGACAGCAACGACTGGCAGTCAACCAGTCAACACACACACACACACAACCTGTAGGCATGGATGTGTGTGTATGTGTGTGTGTGTGTGTGTATTACCAAAGTGAATAAACTGGCTTAAATCAGTTTGGAGGCGAAACTTGAAGCGACATTTAACAGTTTGCCAGTTTGCCAGTTAGTCAGTTAGTCAGTTTGCCAAGTTGCCAACTTATTGTGTGTGTTTGCCCACACTTGCCGAGTCGTTGTAATTAATTATTTGATAAAAGTACAAGCATTGAGTCAATTAAAACTAAATTTATGCCAAACGTTATCTGATGCTGACAAAAGGCGTGATTTACAACACATTTAATGTGTGTGTTCATTTTTCTAAAATGCCCATTAAATAAACCAAAACGGCTTTCATTCAGTGCCAAGTTGCAGGCCTTAAGAAACTGGCTATAAACTCTCGAGAAAAGGATATTAATCGATTCCTGTTTGAGCTCCGATACCAAAATATATGGCCTATATCTGCCACAATAGAGCTGAACTTGGCCAAACTTGGCACGCAGTTTACTTGTCTGGCATTCTAATGATATCAGAGTATTTCGCAGTCGGTTATGCCCCAGGTTTTGCATTGTTTTTATATTAAATGACACTCTAATTTAATCCAAGTCAGCTTCTTCAGCAAAATTTAAAACACAGTTGCAATTAAGTTTTTGCCACAGCTTGTTGAAGAGGGTTGTCCAGCTGGAGAGGATTGGATTGAGTGGCGGCGTATAAGGATGGAAGCCGAGCTGGCATCGTTTGTTGTAGAAGTTTTCTAAATGCTGCTGCAAATTTGTTAACTGTAATTTTGTGGCAACAAACCAAAGAAACAAATAAACAAAAACCAACCCACAAATAAATAAGGCAACAAAAAAAAAAGGACCTCGGCAACATTTTCTCTTCACTTTCAATTGGACACAAAGCACAAACGGCATACGGCCGCATACACTGAGAGAATTAAATGAAATCTTATATGAAATACTTGGAAATACTACATAAATAAAATAATATATAAATTCAGACAGATATTAATGATTTAAATCGGAACTATTATTTAAGTTAATGAATTTTTCGACTCTCGCAAATTGCATTTAATCTGATGAAAAGTGTATAAAATGTTTGCATAAGCAGCCCATTTTTTAAAGTGTATAAACTAGTTTATTTGTGGGCATTGCCTGTGCTGTGCGTAATTAAAACAATGTTTGTGCACAATTTGCAGCTTTAAGAGACGCCACTCGAAGCGGCAGCTAACCGAGTCGAAATTGAATCAAACTCAACAAAAAAATAAATTATTATATAGCATATTTCATGGCGTTTACACGGCAACCAAATGCGGCAAGCAAACACACACACACAGAGAAATTGTTGAATGTTGATGATGATGAATGTCAGCGCCGCTCAAAAGAAGTAATTTTGTGTAAAAAGTAAGCATGCCCCACCATGACGTAGGCGTGCCCCAAAGCCGTTACAACTGTTAATGACATTTACGAATGTTTGTGCGAGAGTCCCGGCCTCGTCGACATTCTCTCGAACTTGCCGCACATAATGCCAAAATAATGACGATGCCTGGACCCGAGTCACCACATCGTAACCAAAACCCCTCCCACCCCCCCGCCACACCCGGCTCTTGCAACATGCAACATAGAAAAATGACGCGGAAACTGTCAAAAAATAACAGAGAAAAAAAAATATAAATGAAACCGCCGCCGTTTTGCGGTTTGCTTTACAAATGACCGCCGGCGTTGATAATGAAACTGTTCTGCCACTAGACTCCACCCCCAAACCCCCAGCCCCCTTGCCCCATCTCCGGACTCTACTCCAGTAGAGTTGTTGCCTTATCCTGACAGCCCCGCCCACCCAACGAAAATTATACAATAACGGCGTCAACATTAGCAAATTGTTCGGACCGAAGGACGAACGGACGAAGCAGAAACTGGCAGCAAACTTTGGGGCAAGTTCCGTTCGGTCTTTAACGAGCGTTTAAATTGCGGACCTTTGCCTCAGATCGTGTTGATTGCAGGGTATTTGATTTGTGTCCTGCTTATTTTTTACAAGTCTTTTTTAGTTGAAAACGGAAACAGTTTCCAATCGAAAGACATTTTTGGGTTAAGGTGTCACTTTTAGATTGACTATCATTTATTTAACATGCCACCACAACTTTTTTTTTTTGTGAATTCAATAATTTGACAAATTTATTCAATATTTGCATCACAACTGAGGCAGTATTAAGTTAAAATCAATGCAACTTGTTGCTTTACAACGTGGCAATGTCACAATTATCTAACGTAAAGCGCATAAGCACATGTTAATCAATGATTTAAGAACAATTTGTGTGGGATATTGCGAAAATGAATAGTATAATTAAACGTTTGTTAAAGTATTTTAATCAAAAGTGATTTGAGTTTGCCTTCAATGAAATCATATCAGCGCCATCTACTAACAGGCACTGGCAACTGCATAGACGTGCATAGCTTGAAAGCAGTAGGCAAGCAGTGTACAACTCTCTGAGCAAGCAGTGCGACAGTTACTATTTGAAATGCAGTCAATTCAAAAAGCGCTCGTCGATTTTATATTAAAGAGCAAATATATAAAAAATAATAATTAATAAAAAAGCAAACTTAATAGGTAAGAAATAAATAAATTCCTTTACATTAAGCTGCCTACAAAAGAGGAATGCAAAATTTCATGCGTTTCTTTGACGAAACGAAAATATTTAGTTTATTTATGTATATATAAAGTAATTGCGATATTTACATGATAAATGTATTTAAGATTTGTATATAAGCTAACAATCGTAAAAAGAATTTAAATAATAGTTGCTAGATGCTAGAAAAATGCCTACTTATGCAAGTAGAATATAATTTGTATGGCTAAGAGCAATTAATGTTTAGGCTTAAGTAAATATTCAAATCTCGTTTCTGCTTCGTCGTGAAGTAAAATCAAATTCGGTAAACTTAAGTTAAAAGCAACTAAAGTGTGCAGAATACATATATACAAATAATTCGAATCAAACTAAAAGCTAAACAAATTAAAAAAGATTCGTATAAATTCAAAAAGTCAATAACGGTGGGGGGGGGAACTCTTAAGAAAATAAAATGTTGTTGCAAAATGACACAGCGAGAATAAAAATGGGTTAATAGATCTTGGGCAGAATATAATTGCGCACTTGGCCGCAATAGCGATGCCAGGACGAATGATAGCGTCCCTGATTCCTGGCATTGGTGCGCGTGGCCCGATGAAACAGGACCACAATGAGCAGCAGCAGCGACACCAATGGCGGCCAGGCAGGACGCAGCAACATGGGCGCACCCAAGGCACACATGGCAAGGATATCGCCCAGATAGTTGGGCTGCCTCAAGCGGCCCCAAAGGCCGCCGAGCAGCAAACGATTGCCCTGATACGTGTGTATGGTGGCCACATTCGCAAAAATGGGATTCTGCGAGTTCAAGCGATACTTGTACTTGAAGGCGCAACTATACCGCTTGACAATCAGTCCCAGGAACAGCAGCATCAGCACCCCATACGGTGCCCAGCAGCAGGCAATTGGCACCCGCTGCTCGTAGAAATATTTGCTAACCGAGCTGAGCAGATACGGAGTGACTGCGTAGCGTAGCAGCAGCAGGCAGCCGTAGCCCTCGTGCTGCAGCTCAAAGGAGCAGCTGAGATGATGCTCGAAGAGCAACGCGTCCAGCACATAGATCAGCAACGAACTGGCCGCCAGCAAAGTGCCCGCATCATAGTTGAGGTTGTGCCAATAGTAGCGCAACAGATACAAAATGCCCTCCTGCGCCTGCGGGTAAGGGGGCCACTGCAGCGTCTGGTAAATGTAGCAGGCGGCATAGAGCAGTGTGCTGACCAGGGACAGACGATAGTAGAACTGCTTCCAATCGACACGTCCCAGCCACTTGGGATTCAACTGCCGGCCGAGGGCAAAGTCCACCACAAAGTTGCCGCTGCGTCCATAATCGTTGGCAAGCGTCTGTCGCAGCACATTATATTTGTTGGTGTCGACGCGAAAGTAGCTCCAGGTGGCTGCCACAAAGGCGCTCACCAATCCATAGATGCAGAAGCGCAGATAATGACGCAACACAAAGCTGACAATCGGATACTTGAGATACTCGACAATGCCGCCGGCCAGGAGGAGGGTGAGGCCAACGCCCAGGCCATTGAACGTGTACGTTTCACGGGTGAGATGCACACGACGTCCCGGCAGCAGGGCCACCAGCAGAAAGACGACAAACTGATAGGCCGTGAAGACGCCAACGACATGGTTCGGGAACACTTGCCGTGTCAGATAGCGCCAGTCGAGCAGCGCCGTCAGATTGGGACGCTTCAGTTGGCAGGCATTGCGCGCCGTGCAGCTCCAGGTGAGATAGTAGACCAGAGTTGGAATCAGCACGAGGAGGAGCAGTGCTCCTGGCAAGCCGCCAAATTCGCGTGGTGTCATCAGTTTGCGGCACGCTTTGCCCAGCACTGGCGTCACCGACTGCCGGGTCACATTGAAACTGCAGAAGGGCTCATCCTCCTCATCGTCCAGCTGCTGTTCATCCTCCTCAGCGATATCTTCATCGCCGGTGGAATAACTGCGCTTCGAACTCTTCTCATCATCGTAAACGGACCGCGAAACGGATCGACTATAACGACTGCCCGCATCCTCTGTATTCGTGGTGGGCGTGGCAGCACGAGCCATGTTCGAGATTGTCTGCGACACCGATCGACGCAGGCGATCCGCTAAACGTTTGCGTATGGAATCCGTGTCGACAACCACATCATCACCACCCTCTGAGTGGATTTCGATGCGCTGTGTGGTTGTTGTGCTGCTGCTGTAGGTGCGACTGATGTTCGGACTGTCCACAGAGGAAGTCATCATTGCCGCAATCGGTGATCGCGTGGATGTATTCGTGGTCAATGTCATGGGCAAGTTGCTCCTGCTGTTGCTGTTGTTGTGCAACTGGCGCACAGGCGACTGCACCTGCAAGTGAGAAATGAAGATTTCAAAATTACACAAATCTCAAACCGGTTAACAGAGAGAGCGAGGCAGAGGGAGTAAGGAGTAACCTGTACGAACCTCGTTGACTTCCTTGATGGGTGTCGGTGCTTTAACTGTGGACTTGGCAACTGCTGCGATGGGCATGCCCGCAGCGGAGCGTGGTCTGCTGGAGCGACGAGTGCGTGGACCCAATTCTACTGTGGCTGGCAAGGGGGCTGGCGCTGGCGCCACCTTGCTGCGGGAGGGCGAAGTACGTGTGCGTGTTTGCAGACCCACAGATGGCACTGCTGTGGAACGCCTGGTCTGCGCAGCGGGCGCTGCAACTGGAGCTGGAGCAGCTGCATAATCCTCGGTGCGACGAGGACGTCTCAAGCGGCGATCCATGGTGCAGTTCTATGTGAGGGGCCGCGAGTGTATGCTGTAAGTGTATACACAGAAATGTATTTATATAATAAATTATTTTAATGTGCGATATATTTTATTTATAGATTGCACTCCGCACACACACACACAAACGCAAACACAATCACAATCACACACACAAACTCAATCACACACACACAAACACAATTTCTATTTACACTTTCCCGCCCAGCCGACAACAACAACAAGAGCAAGAAGAAGAGTAGCAGCAACACTCTTCAGCTGGCACATGAAAAACGGCGCGTACTGTACCCGGCGACGACAGCGCTGCGAGCAGCGACTGCAGCAGCGACTGTTGTCTCCGTTTCGGTCTGCAATGCACTTACAATTAAACGCCAGCCAATGTGCGCTAAATGTGTTTTGTTATTCCAATTTCAATTTGTATATTTCTTTAGTTAGACACGATTGTGTTATGTTACACATTAAAATCAATTTTAAAATTCCTTATCGTAACTCATTAAAAATTAGAAGCCCGCCACTTCGTCTGAATGCGGCAAAAATTTTGTTGTAAATGAGCGCGGCAAAGCGTTGGCATGAGTACTTTCCATGTGTGTGTGTGTGTGTGTGTGTGCGTGCTCAGATGAATGGTTACGTTTCGTGGTGAATAGCTGTACGCAACAGAGCTGCCAATCTGCTGTACATATAATGCACAGCAGTTCATTTGAAATAAAAATGCATTTATAAATTTATAACAAATAAATTTTAATACATAAAATACATTTATATTTATTTAGCAACTTGGCGTATTTATGTTTTTAAGTAATTGCACTACCTGACAGCTCTTTTGACGATGCATTTTTAGCGCGTTTGCTGTCATTTTTAGCACATTTATAGCTGCCTTTTCGCACACACATACAAATTCTACAAAACAGAATAAGGCAAACAAAAGGCAAAAAGCGAGTATAAAGAAAATTTCATCAATACTCATACGGATTGAACAAAAGCTTTGCTGTCACTTTAAAAAATGTAAGTACTCCAAATACATAAGAAGAAAAACAAACACACACGAAACACGAAAATTCCTCGATGCAACAAACAGCAAAAATGTTGTGCAATCTGAACATCAAAATTGCCAGTGATTTGTAAATTTTGTGTTATGAAAAATCTCTCTCTCAAAATTTATATTTGGCTGTGTAAGCAGCGCAGCAGCCGGGCAAGAAAAGCGATTCGAGGTTGACTCCAACGATTAGTAGAGAGCACCATGGTCACCCCACAATCACCAACACCAATGTTCAATGGGCTGGATGACGACTTGTATAATGATGCGAAATATGCGCATGAAATCAACGATAAAATGCGTGTCCCGAAACGCATCAAGGCCACTGGGGAGTTCTCGGACGAGGATCTGTTGCTATCGAATCAGAATGGTTTGATCAGTTCGTGGAACTATAATGACAAGATCGATATGAATGTGCCCGATCGGATTGTTGTCCTCGGACACAATCAGCATCTGGAGACACGTTCGGCGCCGCGTGAAATCCAATTGGAGAACTCCATATTGCCAAAGAATCCATCGTTGGGTTTCTTGCGCGTACAGACACCGCCGCGTGTCATCACATTGACGGATCATCATTTTCCATCGGCATCCGAGGAGAGTTCACCACACAAACACAATAATGGCAATCTCTATGCACATCCCGATCTCGATGGGGATGACAACGATGACGACGATGAGCATCGTGCCACGCAATATGTGCGCTCCAATGGCAACATTCGCATGGGTTTCCACAACAGCAACGATGCCAATTCCATCGAATCGGATTCACAGGTGAGCTGCACCCTCAAATCGATTCCCATTCCAATCTTACGTCACAATTCACATTTCGTGACGCCAGCGAAACATTTCACAGACGACAAGCGATTCCATGTGAATCTATCGTAATCTTGCCCCGCACCACTTTCATTATCAGCAAATGACGAAATGAAATCTGATTGCAGTTTGCTTATTGGCAACCGACTTTTTTCCCTCACAGATCCGTCGTTCTGCTGCAGGCAGTACATATGTCGGATCGTATCACTATATCATATAGCTTCCGTCTGAACAATCGTTAGAATGTTGACTTCTTAACAACTTTTCTATTATATATATTATATTATAATTGTTATTATGCTGCCAACTTTTGGACTAAAAATCAGTATTATCTAACTACTATATTATATAGCTCCCATAGGAACAATCTAGTTTATCTGACCATTACATCACATAGCTTTAATGGGTCGGATTGTTAAATTCATATATTATCTATTTGTAAATTTTTATTGTAAATATTTAGTTTGGAGATTAGAGATCTGTTGTGCATCAAAGTAGATAATCTGGTATTGAAGTCGAACAACTCAATTGGGGTTTAAAGTTTTCTCACAGCGAAGAACTTTAGTAAAACCTTCCTTGTGAATCCCTATTTGAGTTTTACTGAAACTGAACTCACTGAAAATAGTTGAAGTTGTCTTTGGCATAGATTTTGTTATCGTTCCAGTTGTATATCAATTAGGGAAATAATTCTAGTTTCTAATTTTATAATAAATTTTAGTTAAGCAACTGAATCTTCTATAAGAATATCTTTTTCTTTTTATATTTCTTTGATTAACCATATTGCAAAGATATTTTGAACTATTCAATTTCTTTCTGCTGAATCAATATTTAAACAACTCTCAGCAAGTCTATAAAGTGTCCGATATTGTTCTGAATATTTATTTTATTTATATTTTAACTCTTTTAATTTAGCTCTATATCTTTTTCTATATTCTTCTTTAGTTTTACATACAATTTTCACTTTGATCTCTATTTGTACAATAAATTTAGCATATCTTTAAGAGTTGCTCGCAATTTAATCACTTGAGTGGCTATCCTTGATCCTTGGCTGCTTGTACGAACTTGTGCGCTCCTGTTCTAGTCTGATTGGCTTGGCAAAGGCGCGACACTTCCAAACATCCACCTCGGTGGCGAGGCACTTGCGAAAATCGTAGTCGCACTGGCCCAAACTGTAGCCGTGCTCGATGGGCTTGAAATAGTGGAGGCCACGTTCAATCCGGATGATTATGCCCGAGCTGAGCACGATCTTGCGGTCGTGCAGTGTTTCGTCTAGCTGGAAATTCATGTGTATGTTGCCGGTGGCCAGATCGTCGCGTATCCGTTGAAGTGCCTGCAACTGACTGCCCGGCGCACTTGCATCCGGCCGTGTCGTCAGTCGTATGTACTTGAGATAGCGACAATTCTTCACCAGCACCTCGAAGAAGTTGATCAGATTCTTGAACTGATGCTCCGCGCTCAGATATGGCTCGTTCAGATGCGCCTCCCTCACACTGTCATCGAGATAAACGCCGAGCAGTCGCTGATAGCTTCGGCCGCGTGCATCTCTATCGATTGTGAGGTGATCCAGCATTTTGCTGTCATGCAAATGCGCCTTCACCTGATCCCTGAGCTGCTTTGCGCGCGTCTCGTACATCTCGAGATATCCCGAGTATAGCTGTTGCTTTCTCGCATCTGAGCTGGACGACAATTGGTTGAGCTTGAATATGCCTTCCTCGTAGAGCAATATCGCCTCCATAATGTGGCCAGTTTGCTCGCACTTCACTGCATCCTTAATGGCCTCCAGCTTGGGCTGCTTATCATCATCGTTGATAAAATGCGCCTGTGACATATTATTATTAATCCAAGTAGAAGTTTTTATCTAATTTTTTTTGTGTGTTGACGGAAATATCTGGGAATGCTGAGCAGTGCCAATGATTATGTCAAATAGTTTTCTCCAATTTTAGACATTTGCCGAAATTCAGAAAGAACACAAATTTATATATATTTTATAAAAAAGCTATGGTTCGTCCAAATTTTGCTGTAAGTTAGGAGCTGATAACTCGAATTTTCACTAATCGATGCCAATTCTGGTTAATCTTCCACAGCTTACCACGGGCAGCGCGAGCAAACGCTCGCAGCTGTTGCAGCAGCAGCAGCATCTGCAGAACAATCTGGATGCCTCGATGCTGGCCCAGCGTGAGGGCACGCCCATGGGCGAGTTGACGCCCCACGAGGAGATCCTCTATCTGCGCCGCCAGCTGGCCAAACTGAATCGTCGCGTCCTCAACATTGAGATCAACAACGAGCAGCGAATGCAGCGGGAGAAGATCGTCTACTGCCTTGGACTGGCCTACTTTGTGCTGAAGACCATCTTTTGGCTGAATCGCAACTAAACACAGATCAGGACTTCAACTTGATGGTGCTTCATTTCTTCGTTTGTTTCCTGTTTGCTGCACACACACACACACACAGCCAGCCACTCACCTACACAAGCATGCAACGCATGTTCTTTTTTTTCATCTTTTATAAATGGCTCTGAGAGACTTTCGTTTTTTGCCATATTCGTTTTAAGTTATGTAATTAATTAAGCACAACTATGAATTGTTTGTCCATCGTGGAAACCAAAAAAAAAAAGAACAAAATCAAAAGCAAACAGTTTTAATATTTGTAATGTTCTATTACTTGTAAGCAGCCCATGTATTTATTTTTGTGGTCTGTCTAAAAACAACAATCACCCACCCAAAACTGTCCAAAATGTGAACTTGAACTTTTTGTTTTTTTGTTGTTGTTCGTGTGTGTGTGTGTGTGTGATTAATTTCGGAACCAATCCAAAGCACGGCACTGAAATATTAATTTATATATATTAATGTGGTTAAACTATGACTTAATCTAATGGCGCATTCATTTTTATATCGCACTTCAAAGTTGATCTGAATTCTCGTGTGCTTTTGTTGAACGTTAGTTTTTAGCCTAAACATTGTTAACCATAATCCCATGGTTAGTGATCCACTATGGATCCCGAACCAACAACGTGAAATATAAACTAAATCGGTATTTCTATACATGAGTCCCATACGACAAATAGATAATGCTAATTACATACATAGTCCCATACATAATAATATAACTGATGAAGATTTTGAATCGATATGTTTGAATGTAAAACAGCAGCAGATGAAATCATTTAGTTTTAGTGATGATCGATTATTGAATTAATTATGATATTTAAAACAATAAATAAGAAAAACTTTTTAACGTCTTTTTCTGCTTCCCAAAAAATCAGAATCCCACATAAAATCACATAACATATTTTTTTAACGCATTTAAAAAATGTATTTTTTGTTTATTTGTTTTTTTTTTCATATTGGAATTAAATTATATAGGTATTAATTAAGACTACAGATTAAATGCAAATACATCTTCGGATTTATTCTGCAACATCTTTAGGGATTAACAAAGATGTTTCTCTAGAGTTCAATAATTACGAAAAACCTGAGCGAAATTTCGTTGGTTTTTTTCTTTTTCTTTTTTGTTTTGAACGTGAAAAAAGCTCTCTTTTGAAACGCCTCCTTCAACATATTTTGTTTTGTTTTGTACAATCTTTATCATCTTCGTTTCGATCAACTTTCAACATTATGCATTATAGCTATTGGTATATATCGATCTGTATAATAGACTGTGGAAACGCCGTTTCTCCTCGAGTATGTTGTTATTTGTGGTTTTTTTTTGTGTTGTACAGGTTAATTTTCAGAACAATAATTGATTTCGATTTTTTGTAGTTTTTATTTATAATGGAATTACGTTATTATCGTTTAATTTACAAAGTTTATATGCAAGATGTACAAATTGATCAATATTCTCTGCTCGCTTTTCATTTATTTTTTCATCTTATTTTTTTTTTGGTAGCAGGACACGAGAGAATGTCATAAACGTAAAGAACGACTTGTTCCTCTTGCAAACTGTGAATATAAATGAAACACCTACTATAAACCTAAATTCTTATGTATAAATACAATTTTGCTTATGTTCTTGAGTGTAACTGACGCCAACTTCTTTCCTGCCGCAACGGTTTCACTTTCTTTCCTTCTTTTGATATATATTGGGAGCTCTCCCTTCTCTTCGTTTTCTATTCTATTTAAAATGTGTTGTATTTTTGCATTTTTGTTTTAAATCAAATTCTCTTTTTTGTTTTTTTTTGGGTATGGCTGGTGCATGTGGAGAGTGTTGGTGTTGTGTGTGGTGTGGATGGTGGGTGGAGTGAATTTAAGACGTAATGCGATTGATTGACTGACAGAGTTCCACGCTGTTGATGTTCTTGTGGTATTTTGTTGTTGTTGCTGTTGTTGTTTTTGATGATGATGATGACACCTTTGTTGTTGTTGTTGTAGCAGCAGCAATCGCAATCTACTCGCTCTCATCATCATCGTCATCGTCCGAGTCGTCTTTTTTGCTTTTTTTCGCTGGTTTTTTCGCAGCCTTTGAACGTTTTTTGGCACCGCCATTGGCAGCACTGCTGCCGCCGTTGGCCTCGAAGTCCTTAACGGCACGATCATAATCATCCTTGGCCTTAGCTGCCTTTGCCTCCCACTCCTGTAAAAAATCAAATATCATCATTTCGCATTAGCAACAAAACTTGAACATAAAAAATAGCATTTGTATGTTTTTTTTTTCTTCGTTACTCACCGACTTATCCTTCATTGCCCTCCATAATTCGCCACCGCGCTTGGCCACCTCTGTGACTTTGATGCCGGGATTCTCCTTTTTGATCGACTCGCGAGCGCTGTTCAGCCACAGCATGTAAGCAGAGAGAGGACGCTTTGGTTTGTCGGCCATTTTTCTTTTGTCTTTGTGTGTATTGAACGTAGTAAGTTATTAAATTAATTTGCTACAAGCTTCGAGCTGTAAATATAAATTTCAAAAAAGAAAGCGAAAAAACGGTATGCATTAGTATCCATCCAGATTGCAAGGAAAAAATATACACGCTTTTAACGTGTACGCAACACAGCAGAGCGCGCAGCAAGCGACAACCATAAGAACCGCCGCTCAGAAATGAGAGAGGGAGAGCGAGAGGCCACCACCAACAAACCAATCAGCCAAGTAACACGCACACACATGCATCAGCAATGGTCGCATCAAGAGAGATGGCAACTACACACACACACACGCGTACATAGTGTGCTGGAAGCGTCGACGCTTGAGAAAAGCGCGCGCGCGCGTCTTTCTCGTTGCAGCGGGAGCAGAGTGCGCGCAGCTAACAATAATCACATATATCAAAATTAATTTCATAAATACTGTACAACAAAATATACATTAAAATGTCACAAAAAGCAGATTTATCAAGAGCAACGCCATTTTTTTTTCTGATTGCTCTCAACCACACTGGCGAGTGCAAAAGACCGAAATGGCAACACTTTTTTTTCTGTATGTACTGGCCTCGGACTGGCTGCTTTTGCTTGCCTACTTGCTTTGCCTGCCTGTGTGCCCGTATTGCTTGTGTGGTACAGCAGCGTTCGTTCTATGCGACGCGCTCTTTTGCACAGCGCCAAGCGACGTTTTGTATGAAAAATGTACTACAAAAGAGCAAGTTATATGGGAAAAAGCACAGCCAAGCAGCAGACGAAAATGTACAGAAAATTGTACTGAATATGATGAATATTAAAATAGTTACTTTAAAAGCACTCTTGCTATTCGCTTGCAATAAATCGAATATTTCACTTTGCAAAAGTATTGACTGCTTGTGTTTAATGCTTAATTGGCCATACTATTTGATTTCTATTCAAGAAAAGCAACTAGAAACATTGTGTCACACTTTAAATTTAGGTTTTTTATATTACACACAAATTGCAAATAAATTTATTGTTTGTCGTTGCTGCTTGCGATTAACCAACCTTTCACGTTTCTTTACGAACTTCAACTGTACTGAGTGAAGCCAGCAGAAAGGCAAGAAACTAAAAGCAGCAAACGTCAACGTTGCTCGCTCCTTGCTCACGTCGGCTGCGACGTCAGCAGCAGATAAATTGCCGGCTGGGCATTTTGTCTGAGAGAAAGAGAGTGGCAGGAGAGAGAGAGAGCACAAGAGTGTGAGGCAAGGCAAAGAAGAAACGCGGCTAAATGCCGAGTAAAAACAAATACAAATACGGAAACAAAGTAAAAGTAAAATATGTGAGAATAGGTGAGAAAAAAGGCGCGCATTTTAGTTAACAGCGCGCCTCCTCTTAATAAACAATATGAATTGTTCACGAAGAAAGTAACGCAAGTCTCGAGCATAATTATGCGAAATTAATTAAATTAATGGACTAGGCAGCCATTTTGACTTAGCGACGCTCACGGCGAGCAAAAAAAAATCCCGAAATGGCAATGCTTTGGCTTTGCATTGGTACAGCATTGTCGTATTTTTCACAGCGACGAACTCAACTCAACTCGACTCAAGCTCAAGTTTGCTGTGCTCGCAAGCAAGGCGACAAAAACCTGAATGATAAGTGATGCAAATTAACTTTTTTTGTACTTGTTCATTTGTATTATATTATGTTTCACAGCACTTTTCAAAAAATATTAGGTTAATAGTGTTGCATGTATCTTAATTCTTGATTCACTCTAAACACTAATAATTTATTTTTGCACAATAATCTTAGCGCAGAACCAACCTATCTCGTGTGTTGCTCAATTTTAACTGTACGAACTCAGCGTTTGCTGGCATAACGAAAGCAAGCAGCTGCTAGCTGCTGGTGAGAGCGTCGCTGCAGACGAAGGTTGATATGCTGCTTGGGATGGGCGCGTGACGCAACATGCGCTCAATTAATTCACGACTCAACATAACTCACAGCAAACTTAATAAATAAGTGCGCACTTTGTGAGTTGTTTGACAAACAACTATTTGCTATCTATAATTTATCTTATTTTATTATAGATATATATTTTTTTAACTTTAATAATTTGAATTTTAGCAGTTCAGCAATATTAATCGCTCTATTTCACGGCACGTTGCCGTATCTATATGAGAGAGAGATGGAGAGCGAGTGAAAAGGCCAGCCGGCAAATTATCTGAGACGCTCGATGAGATAAATGAGAAGTATGAAACGAAAGCAGAAACAGCGCTAAAAGCGATGTAAAAACAAAAATAGCGTCAATAAAACACTGCTTGAAATGTAAATAAAATGAATGGCAATCACAAAGCGCATTTGCAATAAAAACAAATTCAAATTAGCTCTACTTAGTTAGTTGGCTAATGTGAAGCATCTGCAATTCGCTTAACGTGTCCCACACATCAAGATTGCCCCTGGCTGGGTGGAGTTCAGATTCCACACACATACACAACGGCGACAAAGGCGAGAACAGAACAGCCTATTTCTCTCTCAATGCCACACTGCACTGGTACATACAAAACGAGCACCGACTGAGGCCTCATTTAAAAATGGCGCCAAAACAACAACAGTAATTTTAATATGGAGAATAAAATGTAAAAACATATTTTACACGCGTTACACACGCAAAATTGTATATATCTTTACACTTACACATACTTTTTTAAAAAAATTATTGTCTTTCCTTATTGTAAGATAACCTCTTTGCTTTCTCAATATTTGGTTGACACGCGCACAAGCTGCTTTGAAATATGCAATTATTACTCACCCGCAAAAATATACTAGATAAACTCTCAACTAGAATTAACAAATAATATTTGTAATGCTTCTCCTTTGGCGTTTTTAGTTTCTTTTCGTTTGGCTTTTGGTTAATGAGAAATGCTTTCGAATTGATTTATAGCAAACAGCTTTCTGTTATGCGTACAAGAGATGACAAAAATAAGGTTGAATCGCACGCTGACGTCACAACTGAAGGCGTTTTTATATTTTTTGTTTTCCGGTTGTTTTAATAAATCTTGAAAAGCAAACGACTATCGTAGCGTACAGTACTAGTTTCAAAAAAATTATGATTTAAATTTAAATTTTACTGAGCTAAGGCATCTGAGACAACAAATGCAAAGGCAATGTAAAATAAATACTTGCTTTAAATCACTATAAAAACACATAAGTAATTAAAATAAAATAAATAAATTATAAAATATGTCTATAATAACAATGCGGAAATCGCGATCCATTTAAACATGGATTCTGCATAAAAAAAAAATCAAACATTTTCTGAGGAAAAATAAGACAAGGGCAGTTTTGTAAATTGTAACGGTTTGCTCGTAACTACAGTTTAGGGTTAGACGATGCAGAGGCTGCTAAACATTTTCCCGCCAAACAAAAAATGAATCACAGTGGATAAAATGGCGTTGCAGTTACAGTTGCTGCTGCTGCTGCTTCTAGCAGGAAGGCAGTTGGCAGCGCAACAAAGGATAACAATGTCACGCGCCGCTTGAAGTTCGTTCACAATGAGCAACAGAACTAGACTGAGCCTGGGAAGTCAGCAGCAAAAGCAGGCAGCAGCACAGGCACTGTGTATATGTGTGTGTGTATTCATGCTAAGCTGCATTTGCAGTGCGGCAAATGCACACATTCTTTTTTGAGGTTCGAATTCCTTCGAGTTCCCTTGAAAATACTTAGGGTAAGCACTGAGCGTCGTAGGTATGCCATTTGAGGGAAGGACTTGAATAGAACAATGCAGTTCTGTAATTGCAATTAATTCCGAGTAGGGATGCCAATTAGCGATTACTCATATATGTGAAAGTCCAAATTTATGATTTTCAATTGATTGTTTTTATTGATTTACATTCATTGTAGGAAAATAATTTATAGCTTCGTCTAACGCAAAAATACTATCGAATATTTTCTAAAAAAAATAAAAAAAGCAAATTTACGGTAAGACTAATGCAAGAAATTGTATTCATAAATAAACTTTACGATGAGTTTTCCATAACTTTTTCCGAAAATAAGAAAGAAAATTTGAATTTGACCTTTAAATCGAAATCAAGCAATTATAACTAAGCAAACACTCAACACTCGCTGCACCGGATCTTGCAGGCAGCAAAATGCTCGCAGCTGAGTAAGATTAATTTCCGGCAGTCTGATTAAATTTGAGCTTTGGCAAACAACGATGTTTTTTCAACATCTTTGACCTTACACAGCTTGCTACCGGTAGATTAGTCATAGGCAGATTTAATTTAATCGTTAATCGACTGGCAGCAGCTATCGATAAATGATTTCTTGAGTGTGCACGAAGTGATACAAAAGAGAAACGCAGAGAAGCAGCGAAAGCAAAGCGAAAACTTCAACAGCGAGCACGACGCGACCCGAACGCCAAAATATACGAAAAGCTGGCAAGAGAGCAAAAGCAACAATCGTTCGTTTCGCCGTTCTCGCAGTGCTCAGCAAGCATTTCAACAGCATAGTCGCCTAACGGTTTCTGCCCAACCCTCCCCCCAGCACCGGAAAGCTGATGAGCAGAATGAGTGGCAATGGTGGTTTGATGCCATTTCGGTTCACCGACGAGCGTCACATGAAATTCGTGGAGCTCTACCGGCGAGAGCCTTGTCTATGGAATCGTCGGCCATATTTGAATGGCGCTCGCAATGCGGCCTACAGACGAATCCAGTTGGGCATCAATGCGGAGGCGGATATCACTGAGAATCACCTCACTTTGGAGGGGGTCAAAATGAAGATCAAGAATATGCGCACTGGCTACCATCAGGAGCTGAAGAAGATCAGAGCGAATCCGGAATATAAGCCAAAAATTCCTTGGTTTGCGCCGTTGCACAGCTTTGTGGCACAGTTCGTCGACAAGGTACTTTCATCTAATCAATATTTCTATTGCCACCCTCAGCATTTATCTCTCTCTCTTGTTGTGTACAACAGAAATCGGAAAACGGTTTTGTTGATCCTGCAACAATGCCGCTGAAGCGATTCCAGATCAAATTATCACGCTTCAAGCAGGTCAAGCCGCTGCCGCTGATGGAGCCCGAGGAGCAGCCCGTAATCAAAATGGAACTGGAGCCAGATCAACAGGTGATCATACCGGCAACGACGGTACCCTTAATGCCCACCCTGACACCGCCGCCCCCCTTGCGGCTAATTACGCCGCCAGTGCAGCCAGCTGCCCAGTCACCAGTTCCAGTTCCACAAATGGTCGAGGTTGCGGCACTACCGATGAAAAAGCCGAAACCGTTGCTGGCGCTGGGCGAAGATGAGTTCACATTTTTCGGACTGAGTGTTGGCGCCCAATTGCGCAGCATGCCCCTCTCGAATGCGATGATCATGCAGTCCAAGATTCAGTACATGCTATCGACGGAACGTCGCCGGATCGGCGGTGACACGACAGACGTCAGCCTATTTCTCTAATTGAGAAATAAACGTGGCCTAGTTTTAAGAAGCGCTGCATTTGATCCATTTCTATTTACAGTTAAGGTACCCCAATGGTACCGCCGGAAAAGTCAGCTCAGCAAAAATGGAATATAAATATGTGATTTAAATTTATGTTAAGCAACAAATGCGAAAGACATTTTAAACAAAACAAACAGCTCAAAAATAATATTTAGATACATGTATGTTTTTTATGCATTCAAGTGCTTTAATCGTGTCACGCAAGCGACACGACACACGACCATCTTTGGAAGAAATATGAGAGTTTTATTTTGCAACGATTTCCACTGACGACAGCAGCATAAGCAACACACATCGCCACCTGAGCAAAGCAAGCAAAGCAAATGGCAAAGCACAAAGTTGCTAGTACTGCATCAAAAAGCAGAAGCAAAAGCAAACCGAAACTGAAACAGAAACAGCGATGAAAGAAAGCAAACCGAACTGTACCATACAAAATGTCGCTTTGCTGGCGAGCGCTTGGCAGCAAAGAGTGCGGCGAACAAACAAGCAAGAAGAGCTGAAAAGCCGAAGAGAGAGACAGAGAGGATTGCATGAAATGTGGATGCGTGTCATTGTGTGGGTGAGCAGTGAGTGTTGTTCGCTGTAGTTTCGCTCTATGTATTTTCGCACTATGGCATACAATTTGGTACCAAATTGTGGCTGTGTGTTGTTGGTACATGTGTGGTACATTTGAGAATGCGCGGCCAGCATGACTCACAAATACCCTACACGCACGCACACATTCATATGTGTATGTGCGTATGTATGTATGTTTATTTCTGTGTATGTATGTCTGCATGTGCAGAAATCGTTGAATTCTGAGAGAACAAGAAAACGTCGAAAACCGGACGAAAACAACGACGAAGACAACGCACTGAACTGCTGACTGCGATTGTTGTTGTTATTGTTCTTGTTTGTTGTTGTTGCTGTTGCTCGTTCGTGTTGTTGTTTTATGAGCACCCGGCACATGCTTATCGTTTGTCACTGAATATTACTGTTAAGTTCAACAACTCGCTTTGAGCATTAGCTACCAAAGCTAATATAACTAAGTGATCCCTTTCGATGTCCACTCACAGTTCTTTGTAATTGTCCCATTAAAATAAATAACATTTCGAAGTGATAAGATAATGTCCAAAGTACAGCATAAGATTGATGCATACATATGCATATATATATATGTGTGTGTGTGTGTGTTGGCTGTGGTTCCAAAGATGATTCTGATTTGCAAAATAAATATTTGTATTTCGAGTTTAGGTTTTCACAATCTATACAATATAATTTTTATTTATGATAGGTTCTCGATTCAAAAATGTTGAAAAACTGAAAATAATAAAGCTGCATTTTAATTTGAATATATAGTTTAATTTTGTGAATGATTATTATTCTGAGTGTTATCATTTTAATGATAAGTACAGAGAAATTTATAAAAGTTTTCAAAAGTATTTTTATTGATAAGCTGAAAAGAATTAGTTAAATTTTAAAATCGTTTTCAATGCCATTTACTGAACAATCTTAAACTTGAATATATTTTAATTTCGTAAGTGATTATTATTTCGAAAACTAAAAAAGAAAAAAAAATAGAAACCATATTGACGACTAAGTTTCGTATTCCAACTTGTTCTCTGGAGATCATTTTAGCGGCATTAAGATTGAAATGCGGCAAGTGTGCAATTCTGCTCCACAATCTGAAGTCAGCCACCCACAAGCAACCACACACTCAAATAGGCGCCATCTGACATGGATAAGCATAAACATCGACAACGACATCGGCAGCTCTCCGTGGAATTCCGAGCTTCACTTTCGCACTTTGCCATCACAAAATTGGGTCACATGAGTGCGGCAGAGGAGGCAGGGGTTCCATGGCCCAGAATCGGAGCAGTCATCGAAGCTCGGTTCGAGTTGTTCTTGTTGTTGGAGGTGGAGTTGGAGTTCGAGTTCGAGTTGGTGGTGGAGTGTGGAGTGTGGTCCGTGTGTGTGTGTGTGTGGTGTGTACTGCTGTTGTCGTTTCAAATCGCGGCAACGACAACGCCAGCCAGCCAGCCAGCCACACACATTCTTGGCCACAACAATAGGCAGCACAAGATACTGAACTTGGCCTTTGAAAGACTCTGTGCGCGTCTCTCTCTTTCGCTCGCTCCCTCTCAATCGGTCTGACCTGACCGTCCGCCTGTCCGCCTGTCCGCCCGTCGGTCTGTCTGTCTGTCTGTCTGCGCTGTGCCCCCCACTTGTCTGGCACAGCAGCAGCAGCCGAACAGCGTCACTGCAAACGTGCCACATGCCATCGCCCTCGAAAACAACGAAACCCATCCGCATATTTGTGAGAACTCTTCTCACTCGTCTCACTCTTCAGCCTCCCCCGCACACAGTGCTCATATGTGTGTCTGTGTCTGTGTCTGTGTGTGTGTGTGTGTGTGTGCGTGTGTGTATACATCATCAGCTGTTCCGTGCCGAGCAGCGAAGCGCCAATATAGCCAGAGAACCGAGACAATTGCCGCAGAGACCTAAATCAGTACCAGGAAGGCAAAAACATTACGAAGCACAAACGCTTCACAGACCTACAGCTTCAGGTGGTCGCTTGACTTTTTGCCTATACTATAACTAGAGCGTGGGTGGCGTGGGTGGTTGGGATAGCTGTCCCTTCATCTTAATTAGACGCAAACTGCTTTAGATTAAAATTTGTGCGAGACTTGTACAAAGTACGCTTCTGCTAGAGCCATGTAAATCAATTCCTTTAGACCCACTTGATCATGATGATCATTGATCATTCGTTGTCTTTATATTTGGTCATCGATAATCCATATCTTATCACGCATTCACATAGAAATTATAATGGATCGGTACTTTTTAATACTTAATAACTTTCTGATCGTTTTTTATGATCTTAGGCGACTTAGAGAAATTGAAACACTTCGTTTTTTGTGCATAAAAACAAGTCAGGATATAACAAATATCAACATTTATATTAATATCTAGATTTAGATATGTATTCTAAGTAGATTTTGATAAATAATTCAATTAAATCAGTTTCTCCTGCAGCTGTCAATATCTCAATAGTAATTTTCAATTGAAGCAACGTTCTTATTTAGTTGCCTTGGTTAACAGAGGTTAGTGGTTGCAAAACTTTTGCAATATTCCAAACTATTCGAAACTATTCGAAACCCTGCATAATGTGACAATTTGATTGTCCTGGCTGTTGAAGATGGGTATTATATATGCGTTGGGTAAGCATAACGTAACGGTAAACGTAAGAGATACATTGCATCCATATGGCAAACATATTGGCTCAAGTAGGCGACGACAAGATGACGCCAACGGACCAACAACAACGACAACAAGTGCCTGCCACTCTACTCTGACCATCTTCTTGCATCCTGCTGTGTGTAAAATATATATACTTATATATATATATATATATATATGTGTGTGTGTGTGTGTTTGCAGGAAAAACTGCAAGATTCACTCAGCCAGCGCAAGTCATTCAGTTCTGTAAAGGGACCAACGGCAAAACACACACAATCCGCACACATCGACATATGCGAAACTCAAGTATCACGCAGAACTCCAACTAAGCTGACAAACTATGGTCTGCCCCATGTTGCACAGAACGGGGGCGCGCGGATAGAGAGATAGAGTGTGTGGAAGGCAACCCAAGGCAACATAGTCTAGAGAGCGACCACCCCGATTTCTAAATTTGAATTATAGCAACATACTCTATGCGCTATTTGGCAAAGAGTCCTAGACTCGAAAGAGTTATAGAGTACCCAATGCAGATGCAGATTTACATCAGAGATCCGAATGCGAATTGAATCAGTTAGAAACGATTTCTTTGGAATTTCATTCCGTTCAAATCCATTGTCCATCAAATTTGAGAATAGAAACCACTCATTGAAAGTATTTTGTATACTGATTGTCTAATTGTAAATTTAGTTCTTTAAATAGTTTAGATTTAAGTACTCAAAATACTACAATGCATTAATATTTGTTCTTAAAATTAAAGCCTGTCAATATCTGTTTTATAAATACCTAAAATTTTTTTTGTTGTTTTATTTATATACATAATTTATATTAAAATATTTTTAATAGCAAAATATCCAATCAATTATTTGATGTCTTATAACTTTAAGAATTGAGCTAAAAATTATAATATTTTGTTTTATAATAACAAATCTTAAAATGCAACTATAGCTTATAGTTTACCATTACAAACATGCTAAAATATTAATAATTCTAGTTCTAATGATACATTTTTCTTCTATTCGAATATCATTTTCATAATTTCTCGTTGCGCACACGACTAATGCTAAACACTAATTGCGATTTGATATCATTGGCTTTTAGTTAGTATGCAATTATTCCATTCACACCTATAAATTAGTTGGACCCAGGGTATTTTCTCTTCGAGTTGGTCGATGTATCCTTCTGCTTTTTATACATTGTGCCTACCAGTTTGCACATTGTTTCTATGCTCTGACACACGCAACCAAAGGAGAGGACACACATAGATATACACACACACTCACACACACACATACAGGCATACACTGAGAATAGCATAGAAACACATACGGGCTCTTTATATCCACATCCTGTCGAGTGTGCGTTCGGCTCGTTAGCTCGTTCGCTGCTTCGTTTAGTGGTGGTGGTGGTGGTGCTGCTGCTGCTGCTGTTGCTGCTACTTTTCGCTTCCACTGCTCTGCTGCCTGGTTTGCATACAACCGAGCAGCGTACAAACATGTATATATATAAATATATATAATATATATATATATATACGTATAGCTATATTCCCACCACCGACAGCAACTGCAGCCGTCTCTCACCACAGAGCGACAGCAGCAGCAGCAGCAGCAGTAGCAGCAGCAGCAGCAGCGCAGTTCAGACTCAGCGCCAGTGGCAGAGCAGGCCGAGTCTACACCACCATCCCCAACCCACCCGATGTCAATGGCCCGGACCGGGCTGGCCCGTTAGCTCCGGCAGCGGGGTTCTGTTACACACACACACAGACGCACACACACACACACACAGTGTGTGTAAAGCTGCATTGAGACGACAAACAAGCAGGGAATAATCGACATCGACCCACTGCACTGTGGGCCGAGCTCCATGCGAACATCTTCCACCTAATCGACAGTTTTGCGTATTTTCCGTACATATATTCAACAGATTATTCCGTTGCCTGGCACCAGGCTACAGTGGCTTGAACACGATTTGAGTACTTGTTAAAAATTTTAAATTTATTATATTATTTTTAATAGGCAAATTGCTGTAATATAAAAGTCAAAAATCCTTAAGCAAGAGTATATATTTTATTTTAATCTTAAAGAAGCTGATCACTGTTCTTATGCGGTTTTATAGGATTTTAAATTCTTTTTGCCGTATCTTTTGGTAAAAAGATTGAGCATTGTGAGTAAAAATTCCTTAAAAATTCTTTGCTAAAAGTCAAAAATCTTTAAATTTCTTTTGTTTCATTATAATAATCATTTTTCACAATAACAAAGATTCAATAACAAAGATTTTAAAATGATGTTTGTAACTTTCTTTTGCTAAGATCTCACAGATTCATTTACAAAATGAAATGACTTTGATATCTTAAAGAAAACATCAAATATCATCAAACTGGTTGCAGATATTTATATATTATAAATAAATTCAATTTGAGATATGATATATAAGATGATAGATATAAGAATAATAAAGAAAATAACTTAAAAAAGAGGACAATTAAATAGGTCAGTTTTGTTTTGCTATACTTTTGACTATGATGAAGTTCACATTAAATAGGTCAATAATTGTGATCTATATTTTGTAGCATATGGCGGCATTAGGTATTAATCTGTTAATTCAAAGACAGCAATTAATTAACTATTTAATTAACGCTCAACTTTGATGCACGAGTCATTCGAGCATTATTCTGGTTTTCCAATATCCATGACGATATGCACACGATCCAAACGCTTAACGTATTGCATCTTGTTTGCATTAGCGTCTAGCCCACTGGCTACACTGTATACCCTACAACGAGTGGGGCATATTGATTTTTTCAGTGCGCCCAGCCATATTTGCCTGGGGCACGTTTTGGGGCTGTAAGCTGTTTAGCTGTTAGCTCTTCCATAGATACAGATATACACGCATACAAACGCACACACTCGCACACACACACGATAGCAACAGCAACAACAACAGCAACAACACATCGCAGTCGCCGTCATCACTCCCCTCTCTCTCGCCTACACCACTCTATATTGCTCATGCTCTGCCTCTGTCTCTGCTTTTGGCTCTGCTTTTGGCTCTGCCTGTGCTTCTGCATTTACCGCTGCCTATTTCATTCGTTTGCTCGCTGGCTCGTTGGCTCGCTTGCTTCGTACATACTTTCGTAGTACGACGACTGGCTGTACTCTGTGCTCTGTGCTCTGTCACTGCGGCTGTGGGCTCACCAGAGCGAGATACTTGTACTACAGCCAGCCAGCCACACAGCCAGTCAGTCAGCCACACAGCCATACAAGCGAATTGCTTCAAAACTGGTCGAAATTCATGGTGCGCTACACTTAATCGAGCTTTTATGGTTTCCATTTACATTTGCCAAAGATGGTTTTTTGTATGGATAGTCTCTGGTATATGTAGTGAAAATTAATTATTTTTTCTCTTATAATCGGTTATTTTTTAACAAATTGTTAACTTTTAGCAGATCATTAAAAAAATTTTAATTTAAGAAATTATATTTTTTATATAGCAGCAGTTGCTATCTCATTTGAATTTGAATTTATATGAGTTTCTTAACTAAGAATTTTCAAAGAGCTAAACTTAAATTAAATTAAATAAAGAAATCTTGATGATTGTTTATTGAAAAGTATTATATATTTAAAAAAAATTTTGAAGAAGAGAAATAAAAATGTTATCTCACTTATTAAAAATGAAAAAATACTTACCTTAAAATCAACAAAATTACTATATTATTACAAATCACTTTAATATGGGCAACTATCAATCAAATATGGCCTACGTATTTCGAAAGATTTTAATATGATTTTTCTTTTTAATTTTTTTTTTTTTTAAATCTTTTAACTTGGTTTTTTAAAATTTCATATTCAATTTTTAAATAAAATTTTCTTGATTTTTGAACTACTTGATATGATTTTGTGTGTGTTTATTTTTTATTTTTTATATAACCTTTTTTCCCTGGGCACTTCCATTCAAAATTTTCCAGTCAACTGAAGTTGGGTTCGTTGTCGAAGTAAATTGTTCTGGCTGGGGCAGGGCAAGCCAAGAGCCAGAGCAAAACCAGCCACAATCAGCAAGGCAGGCAGGCAGGCGGCCATATTCAGTGCTGTGGCTGTTGCTGTTGCCATTGCCGGTTGCCGTTTGGCCCTCCTCACCGCTCAACTCCCCAGTTGCCCCTCTCTGTCCACGATGTGCTGTGGCTGCTGCTGCCGCCGCTGCTGCTGCTGTTGCTATTGCTGTTGCTGCTGCTGCTGCTGCTATAGAGCTGTGTTCATATAACGAACGAACAATTTTTGTTTTCAGCTCTACACGCACGCATACATTGAAAGCCTGAACAGAGCCAGATACACACGTACGCAAGTATCAGTATCTATGTGTGTGTGTTTGTATTGCTGGTGCTGGTGCTGTGCTGTACTGTGCTGTGCTGTGCTGTGTGTAGCCGTAGCCGTTGCCTCTGCTTTGCGCACATACAGTGGAAGAGCGAACAAACCAACGAGCGAACGAATGAACGACACAAGAACACACACACAGAGACACACACACACACAGAAACTCACAATCGACATACAACTCGCACACTCGCATGGGAAATATTACACACACACACAGAGACACACACACACACACACACATATAGACACAATTTTCACTGCCTGCGTTTGCGTCGTATACACGACGTATACTGGTGCTTTTGGTGTGCTTGGTGTGCTCTGCCTGCCTCTGGCTGGCTGGCTCGCTGGCTCGCTGGCTGGCTCGTTTGGCTGGCTGACTGGCTGGCTGGCTGGCATTCGCATTCATTCTGTGTATTTGATATTCCACTGAAGGCAAAAGCTGTACGCTGTACGTTCAACGCTGTGTAGTAGTACGTACACGGTGAAGCAAACCGAGACCGATACAGCGACCGACTGACTTGAGTTTTTAGTAGAAGAAATTTTTATAAAGTGAACAAACAAAGCACTGGCAGTGCAGTGCACCAAATAGTATAACCAATCCACGAGTAATATTCGTCTGCTGACAGCAGGACGGCAATTAAATTTTTGCAAATTACGCGACATTTTCATACGGGTGAGTGAAAAGTGTCTCACTATGATTGATTTCTCATTGTTTTAACTATATCAATTGACCAAAATGCGACGCCATTGCGGCCATTTATTATATAAATTTCACTAAATAAACTTAAACGACCTAAATTTTCAACATCGCATCGGCCCTTGGCTGTGTTGTGTGTGGGCCAGTTGTATTATATCGAAAGCGCAAAAGGTGGCCCCGGCCTCTATTGGCCTGGCCTAACGTAGTAGTGTCAAAAGATCCAATAATAGTTAAAAAAATAAAAATAAATAAATAAGAAAATACAAAAATAATAATAAAAACGTGTAGCTACTAAATTCATAGAGTCTCAGAGTTCGTTTCGGTTGCGTTCGTCGCTTGTCGTTGTTCTTCTTCTAGTTGATTATTGTTGTTGGTATTGAATGAATTTAAATTTTCGAATGGCGCGCGCGTAAAATTGACGGTTATTTTTGAAAACGCTTTGTTTGCCTGCCTGCCCGATTATTTAATAGCTAATTATCTATAAATACAGTATGACAGGCAATTCCACTGAAGATAATGTAAATGCTGATCATTACGCATGAGTATCTCTGCTCCAATCCGATTCGATTATGGCTAAAATATTACAAAAATATTGCAAATGTTGTAAATTTTTTTAAAATTAATTTTTGTTTTTGTTTTATTTTTTATGAGGGGGGTTTCTTTTTGCTGGGGGAGTGGTGACGGTAAGGGGTTTCATTTGTTGTAGATTTGGGCGCGTGAGTGATGGCAGCGGGGCAAAGTGGGTTGGTAAAAAGAGGCCGAGAGGTGGGGGGAGGGAGGCGTGGCTGGTGGGCGGCATATTTGGTTATATGTGACGACGACTACGTTCATGACACGATTGATGGGCGGAAGGGAAAACCGAGGGGTAATCAAGGTAGGGGCGATGAGTGGGAGAGGGGGGGGTGTGGCGGGGTGGTGCGGTGGCAGCGGCGCCGCTGCTGCCGCGGCAAAATGCTACTGGCATTTCGTTCGCACAAAGCTCGTTCGTTCCACGCTTTTTATATGGCTGAGGCAATAAGCAGCCAGCGCGTACAGTCGCGTCAAAAATAGTTCAACATGCGCGTGTGCCTACCATGTGGAAGCAAAAGTTAAGAGTGAGAGTTTTACACTGGAGTAATGGGGTGTGAGCATAATTGGAGCATATATAATATCATATGCACATTATGTGTGATAACAACAATTTACTTTTGCTAATGCGGCTTAAAGATTTAAAAAAAATAGTAAAAAAAATATTAATAATATTATTTAAAAAAAAAATGAGATATCAAATCTAATCTAAAAAAGAAAACTTTTTTTTGCCCGTAAATTCTGTTCATATTTTTTGTACTGACTTCAAATAATTGTTCTTCTATCTGAAAATTTGTTTAAGTTCGAGTTCGATTATTCTTCCAATATTCGGCGACTGCATTGTGCATGCGCCGTACATAATCCACAGCGGAGCCGAGCTCAATTTACGGGTACGCCACTGTAGCAGCCACCGCAAAAACGCAAATTATTATTATTCTCACACACAAACGCACTGATTCGGCAGCTGTGCGCACGTAATTTGCCACCACTGTGGCCCCGTCTGCCTGCCTGCTTTGCCTGCGTTCGTTCGCTCTGCTCGTCGTTGCCCGCCTGCTGCCGTCAACGTCGTCGTTGTCGCTGCTGCTGTGCTGTTTCTGCTGCTGCTGTCGTCGTATTCGACTCGACGCTGTATGTTGGTTGGTTGGCTGGCTGGCTCGCTGGCTGTTTGACTCTCAGATACAGATACTTTAGCTGCCGCCTGCCTGTACTGCGCTCTGCACTGGGTCTCTGCTCTGCTCTGCTGTGGCTCTGCTTTGGCTCTGTGTGTATTATTTGATGGTCTCGCTGTTCACTCGTTCGTTCGGTGTTCGCCTCTCCTCGCCTCGCCTCGCCCTCGCCTTGCCCTGCCTCTGCGTGTGTATGTTTCTGCCTCTGCTTCTCTGCCTGCCTTTGCCGCCTGCCTTGCGTTTGCCAGCCTGCCTTGCGTTGCTTCGCTTCGCTTTGGTTTGCTTTGGCTTTGCCTTTGCCGTTGTCGTTGCTTGCCTGCTTGCTTGCTTGCTTGGTACAGCTGCTTCAGTTGAATTTCAGTTCAGTTTTCTATAGACACTCGCAGTACATTTTGTTCAGCGTTCAGAGTGTTGTTCAGTGCCAGTGCCAGTGCCAGCGCCGCCAGTGCGAAGCAAAATATATTGTAGACCAAGTCTCGGGCCAAGAGTGAAGCAACAACAACAGCAATAACAGCAACAGCAACAACAGCAACAGCAGCAACAGCAGCAACAACAGCGGCAGTCAAAGCAAAGTACGTACATATCAGAAATACGAGTATTTTTCATTAGTAGCCGTCGTCGTCGTCGTCGTAGTCTGTGGGTAATAATTTTTACACTGGCGTTTAGTGTTTGGCCCGTGGGGCGTCGCATTTACAGTATGTGTCAAATTAGTTGGACAACCTTTTCGATATACATATTTGATTTTTGTGACATTGCATTCTATTAGTATTTGATTGCTCGATGTTATCATTATCAATTTAATTGATTAGCATTCGAATTGTTCAGCCGCGCCTAGCGAATTGGATTTGCATTTATTTGTTTGACTTCATTCAAGTCATAATTAATTAATTATTGACTGACATATGCTTAAGGTATTCTAATTTGTCATCAAATTGTCATGCTTAATAATTGACTTAATAAATTGAAAATTGAAAGATTTGACAAACAAATAATAATTATAGGAAACTATATATGAATTATTTATTTACATAAAGTTCTTTGTTATATATTTTTACTACTTGAATATTTGAAAGTTTTTATCATTTTTGTTTACTTTTTGTAAATACATTTTTATTCTGTTTTTTTTTATTTTTTAATAATGATCGTTGTTGGTTCAATATTATTGTCCTCGAGTGTAGCTATATGCACCGGGCCCCACGCCCACTGCATTTTGGAGGCACTGAGTGCGTCTGCTTTGCATTTCGTTTTCGATTTCACTTATTGTTCTGGACCTGGTCCGGACCATGGTGGCGCCACCCACCTGTCGACGGCTTCGGTGGCAGTTGCTCAAAGCGGTGCTCCCCTGGGCTCAAACTTGAGGCATACGTACTGCATTTGTACGCCTGACAGTAGGACTGACTGACTAATTCTCCGGTGCATTGTCTGTGAGCGTGTCCAGGCATCAGTTATTGTCTATACATTTCATTGCAATGCGTCTTCTGTGGCCTTATCACATGACGGCAATTGTCGCCCATTCTTGCCGGATGTCGGTGGTCAAGTTTCCCGTACCAGTTGCCCATTTCCCATTTCACATTTCCCACTTGTCCACTTCCCGATTTTCTCATGTTTATTTTGCTTGACTCGCATTTTGCAGCTGCGTGTTTAAAATTGCCCGCCATTGTGAATTCTAACGTTTGCGGATAAAGTTTTCAAGTTGTTGACCGTGAAATATGCTTGGTAATTGAGTTTGTTGTTTAACGAGCAAAGTGGATTCTCCATTACCAACTTATAACTTTGGGGGTTGGGTTGAAATAAATGCAATTTCTTCTTCACACAAAAGTTGTTATTAGTTGACGCTGTAAGGATATATGATCATTATACGAATAACTCAAGTATCCTGATCCTTATCCTGAGTTTGAGTTGGTTTTGTTGACATATTACTTATGTTTTGGTTTCTTTAAGAAATTATAGAAACGGTTTAAAAATGAAAATTACATAATATATAATCAATATTTATTTTTTGAAGTGTATTAAGAATTATATTTATTTGCGAGCTCAAACAAACTTTGGAACCGAAGGAAACGATCGCTGTTTCTTATTTATTTATATATTATATATTTATGCATAAAGAATTAAATGAAATTGATTGGTGTTCGATCTTGGTTCAATATTAAAATTTGTATTCTCTACGTTATATTTTGACAAGTTTAAGTTTTCAGAGTACGCATTAAAATGCTAAGACTGAAATATTTTATACATTAAAATATGAAAATCAACTTTAAATACTATATTTATAAGTTCTTCTTTTAAATAACATTTTCTAAAATATATTTTATATAACTTTAGTAAAAAAAATCAACGTCACATTTAAATATCTTTAATATCGTGCGGTGCTTCTGTTTTTGCGCAATTTGAGAGATGTTCGTTGTTTATTTATTTAGTTTTGCATTTCGTGCGCGCTTTGCTTATGCACTCGTTTCGCGAACACTCGAGCACAAACTAAAAATGGCGCCAAGAGTTTGCCACACTACCTGCACAAGGGGGCCTCTCTCTCTCGCTCGCACAACGACGAGAAAGAGAGGGTAACACATTATTCCAACTGGCCGTCTACAGTTATAAAGCTTTTTTTCGCGCCATTTTCACTAGTTGAAATCCGAATAGTGCCGTGCAATAATTAATTACATCGGATTTATGAGCCACCTTATCAAAGATCTGTTTTTCAACTCAACTCCGCTGCGGCTGCCGCTGCTGCTGTTGCTGCTGACGTTGACGTCGCTGTCGACGTTCGTTAGTGTTGCCCTTGTGCTTTTTGTTGTTGCTGGTCACTTGCCGATCATCGCCTGTCAAATGAGTTATGCATGCATGTGTGTGTGTGTGAGTGTATTTGTATGTGTACATGTTGATTGTCGTTGTTGTTGTTGTTTTCGGCAAAGCTTTCGCCCTCGTTTAAAGTGTTTACTCTCGCCTTTTGTTAGCTAAACGTTGAGACAAATAAACATTTATGTGTGTGTGTGTATTCTTATCAAAACTGTTTTATACACAAATAACAAGTAACAAAAGCGAACACGAGAATTTGCGGTTTTGTAATTTGCGATTGAGCTTTATTATGCTGAATGGAACGATTCTTGTTTATAGATAAATGAGTTAAGGGCAAACAATTAACACATAAGCGAATCAAACGCCTACGTATCAAAAGTTCGAGCATATGCATTGCGTGTGCCACGACTGTACTGCATATGTGAATTACACTTTTCGAAAAAGTCGAGTCCGAAAAGTTCAACAAATTATATCAGTGAGGCTAGGCTATTAAAAGTCACCACTGTACGCGCTCTCCTAACGGTAAACGACACATAGATACACAAATACATATACATACATATAACGGTTCGTTTGCCCTGTCGACATCCACTGCGCAAATCCCTGTAAAAGTATCTACCCTAAAATGCTGTCACTGCGCACAAGCTCGAACTGAAAGTCGCATTCAGGCAGCAAATTTTACAGTTTTGTGTGGTGGTTCTGGGTGGTTCGTCGGGTGGCTCTTATAGCCAGAAACAACAACCACTAAGCACTGAGCAGCAGCAGCAGCAGCAGCAGTAGTCGCCGCAGCGCTGTCGACGTCAGCAGCTGCGTTGTTGGCATTAAAAATGCCATAAACACACAAACAAACACACACACACACATACACAATTCTCTGCTCGCACATTGAACAGATAAGCAAAGGCCGTCGCAGAGGCAGCGGTAATTTTATGCCTGCCCTATGTGTGTGTCTGCGTGTGTGTGTGTGTGTGTGTGTGTTTTTGTATTTGTATACTGTGTATACACTGCTATGCAGTGTGTACTGTATTCCTTTCAGCAATTTCACATTTTGTCCATTTGACTTTGACTGCGACGGTGACGGAGACTGTAACTGTGACGGCAGCAGCGACGCAGCGAGGCAGCGACGTCGGCTGCTTTTCAATTTTAGATCAACGTTAAAATGTCGGGCCCAGCCTGCCTCATTTTGTATGCCATTTAATATCATTTGTAGTCCTTTCCCTTGTTTTCATTTTTGGTTTAGCTGCTGCTGCTGTTGCTGCTGCTGTTGCTGTTTCTGCTGTCCCCAGCCAGTTGGTTGTGTATTATGCATGATTGTGTGTAGGAAGCCTCACCACGCTGCGTATGCGTAACGTGCACAGTTTTTAATTTGTGCGGTAGTTTCGAAATAAACAGCTCCAACTGACATACGCACAATCTCAAAGCTAATATGACTAATAAAACATTGACAGCAACTTTGTGCTCAATTTTTGATTAAATTGCTGCTGAAATCCTTTTGAGGAAAACAAATGCTTTTCTTTGCTATTATTTAAGCTAGATTAAATGCTGGCAGATGCAAGGAAATTTTCAACTATCTGCCAAGGCACAAGAACTTTTCTATCTTATACTTATTATGTCTATCAACATCTATATAGAAAAACAGTTTACAATAATAAGAGTTTGCTCCTCGAAGGTATGCAATTAAAAAAAAGACACAACTGGTCAGATGGCTTTATGAATATTTAAATATTTATTAAGCATAAATATTTATTAATATTTACTAAGTTAATATTATCATATTGTGTTTAGACTGTTCCACAAAATAATACAGCATACTTGTAGGCGCACTCGTCCTATGACAACTGCTAATCCAAACTTCTTCAACTTGCTTAGTATGACATATTAAGCTTTAAGTTGCTGTTGCATAAATAACACAATTCGCCAGTGCCTCGTTACCTATATCCTATATCTGCATCAAATGCTACACCTAACAATTTCTGACAGCCTCTAGCCACACACACACACACGCATATTCTTCGCCAGACAAAATGGATTTCGCTTTCGATTTTGTAGGTGACTTCTACTACAGTCCTGTATATAAATATATGTATATATATATATATATATGTGTGTGTCTAGTGTGTATTGTGTGTATATGCGTTGGAGGAATCTTTTGGTGTTACCCCCAATGTGAGAAATGCCAACGCGTAAGCTCATGCAGCAGGCAGTCTGCCGCTGTTGCTGTTGCCGTTGTTGTTGCTTTGTGCATCACGTGTTGCCGCCTCGTGTGGCGACATTGACAACGTCATTGCGTATGGGTTTGTGTGTGTGTGCATCTAGTTGGAAGGGGGCAACCCATTACATTGTTTGGGGACCAAGTCTGCGGGCATAACAGTTGCTGCACAGTTACGCGAGTCAGATACTAACAACAACTTTGCCGCCATTTTCCTGTTGCTGCCCATAGATACATTGGCATGTGGGTGTATGTGAAGAGTTATTGCATGCAGCTAATATGCGCAGTGGCTGCTGCTACTCGCCTGCTGGTTGGTTGTTGGTTGGTTGACCAGTGCGTGGATTTGTCTACATGATTGATATGACTGTAGTCTTGCCAGCTTGCCCCTTTGCCACCTTGCCAGCTGGCCAGCTTGCCACCTTGCCAACTAAGCCAGGCAGCAACCCGTGCTTGCTGTCGTTGATTTATTGTTGCTGTGCTCCCTAATCATCAGTGCTGTGTGGTTTTGTTAACCCACATTGCCACATTGTCAGAGCTTCTCGACAGCAACAACATCATCATCGTCATCATCATCGTCATCATCATCATCATCATGGTCGTCTTCGTCATCGTTATCGATGTTCTCGTTGTTGGCTGTCTCGTGCGCATTGCGTTTGTCAGTATTTCTGAGTATTTGGGTCAAGTGCATGGAGGCAGTTGTCTGTTGCTGCTGCTGCCGCTGCTGACTGCTGCTGACTGACGACGATGACGACAACAGCAATGATGATGTTCATCATGATCAGGCTGATTCTGTAACATTTGCATAACGTTTACGTCGTTTCTGGCATGGCTTGTTCACAAACCAATACATTATTTACTGGGTGTTGTTGATGGCTTGCTGTTCTTTTCTTCAACTTGACAAGGAGAATGCATATTTCTTTATTCTTATATTTGAGCTGGCACATCAAATTTAATAGTTTTTTTTCTTCAATATATTTCACAACTCAACAAAGTGTTTTAATTGTGCATCTAACAAATTGATTGTTTTATATATACATAATTAAAATCGCATGCCTATGTGCTCGACAGATACTTATGTATATGTGTAAATAAAGTGCATTGTCCTGATTTTACATATGTACAGGTATTGCTATATACCGCAATGGATTGGTCCTTGGTCCAAAACCTCAAACCCAGTCTTGCCCCGCACAATTGCATTATTGAGTAAATTATGTGTAAAATACATAAAATCATGTGTAAATTATGTGCAAAATACATAAAATCATGTGTAAATTATGTGCAAAATACATAGTCATGTGTATATAATAATCGAGTTTATGTACACATTAAAAATGTTGCCGTCTCTATATGCTGCATCTCCATCTACCTGTGTGTGTGTGTGTATAAAGTGTGTACAGTTGCACTCACAATGTGCATACGAATATTTGATGAGCATTTTGTGCATTCGATATGCAATTATTGAATATTTAATGTCGATTTCAGAAAACAGAAAAAATGGCGCAAACCGTGAATTAAAATTGCGTTCAACTCAATTCAATATTTAACTGACACACAAATTGACAAACAATTCAGGGGCAATTGTGCGTTTCAATATGGCCTTCAAAATCCAAAAACAATGATTTTGTCAAATATCAAATAGAAATGACAATTAACTGTCAATAAATTTGTAAAGATTACTTTTGAGTTGTAGGCAATTTCGGATTGTTTTTTACTGAGCATTTTCTTTCATTCGTTACAGAACACAAAACTCGCCGAGAAATCTGGTATTAAATTCGAGTTGAAACCACCGTAAAAAGAAGTAAAAAACGTCAAAAGCAAATATGAGTGGAGAACGCCCGAAGCGTCCGTTGTCGGCATACATGCTGTGGCTCAACGAGAACCGCGAAAGTATCAAGAAGGAAAACCCCGGCAGCAAGGTCACAGATATTGCCAAACGTGGCGGTGAACTGTGGCGCGGCTTAAAAGACAAGACCGTAAGTGAATTATGGCTATATTGTTGCTAATGTCTTGCATATATTTATATATATATATATATTTGTGTGTACTTGAATAGGAATGGGAACAGAAAGCGATCAAAATGAAGGAAGAGTACAATAAGGCGGTAAAGGAGTATGAGGCAAATGGTGGCACCGATTCGGGTGCGCCCAAGAAGCGAAAGAAGGTTGCCGCCAAGCCCGCCAAGAAGGCCAAGAAGAAAGAGTCCTCCGAGGAGGACGAGGAGGATGAGAGCGAGTAAATGCAAATTGCAGAAGGCTCGCTATCAGTTTTAAAATACATTTTACTAATGTAATTTTTTAAGTGACATAAAAACAAATGAAAAACAATTAAGAAAAAAACAAAAACAAAAACAAAACAAAACAAAAAACAACAAAAACAAAATGAAAACAAAATGAAAATGAAAACCTTATACCTTTAAATATGCACTTAAAACAAACCACACCAACAACCATAATATAAGTTACAAGATAATTTCCAGTCAAACACAAACAAAAACAAAACACAAACAAAACAAAACAAAACAAAACAAAAAAAAAATGAAAACTTACAAAAAGAAAAAACAAAAACTAGCAACTGTTTCTTTATAGGTTTGTACGTATGATGTACATATGTATGTATTTACTATGTCATTCGATCGCGTCTCTATCAATTCCTCATTCGCCGAGTGGAGATCGATGCATTCTCCATTCAGGTCTCCACTCCTTTTCAGCACATCAGCAATATGAGGTTATTATTATTATTACTATTATTATTTTTATTTCGTTTCTTCTCGTCGCGGCATCTAATGTAAATGTTTATGCATAGCGTTCCACAGTTTATAGAGGAAGTCATTTCATGATGCACAAACTCCACAGAGTTCGAGTTCTATGTTTTGTGCGTCCAACGATTCCCTTATTCGTCCTTTTAGCAGACGTTCTCACTTTAATTACATACAATTTATAAACGTTTAAATCAACAATCCAACAAGTTATATATACATTTTAATATATATATATATACATATATATATATAAATGTAATTTAAAAGATTAAAAAAAAAACAAAACCAACAAAATATTACAAATATGTAATTGTAAATGTAGAGCTGAACGGAATATTATTTAAAAATATATAAATAAAAGAAAAATTTAAAAACTTGTGTGTGTGTTTTAATCATTAATAATATTGGTAACGCTTGGTTAAAATCTATTCAGAATGAATTGCAATTCCATTTGTTGTAAATTTATAATAAATATTATTACGAAAGTTAATTTTAAACTGCGATGTTGGTTTATCATTTTCAAGATAAAGCAAATATGATGGAGCAAGTTCACCCAATGAAAAGCTTTTATTTCTCATGTATGTTTAGATTAAAAGCTGTCCAAAGCTCAACTAGCTGAAGCATTGCGAGTAAGCTTGCTATTAACAGTAAACTTTTCTGTTATAAGGCAAGTTAACAGTCGGTTACTATTTAAATTTGATGAAATGCTATATAACCGATAAAGTCAATGAAAAGGTTTTAAAAGTGTGAATTATATATTTGCATATCTATATTATATTGCTATAACTTCTTTTGTAAGTTGATTAGATACGACTTAATTGGTAAAGTAGCTGAAAAGCTTATTGAAGTGTATTTTATACATATAAATATAGAGATTTATATGTTAAATTATTAAATGTATGTATGAAAATAACTTTCTTAAGTTGCCTACATTTTGCCACAATGTTTGCCAACTTTCTTACCACGGTGCCAACGCGTGCGCAATCCTTGCGAGCCAAAATGCAAACCAAGTCAGCTGCTACCATTGTCGCTGTCCAGTTTTATTATCATCGCTTAGTTTGTTGGTTGTCTGCCAGCTGCAAAGGAGGTGAGTGTTCAAAACTTGCCATATATACATATATAGTTTTTTAGAGGGCTGCGTAGTTTTCATGTGCACTCAAAATGCAGTTGAAACAAACACAAAAGTGCAGTTGGTAAACATGAATCAACCCTTAAGTAGCCTCAATTGACAGATGTTAACTAAAACTAAAGGTAAGAATCTGTTTCAAAACGCACACCTGTTGAGCGGCGACATTTGGAAGTGCGAATTATTATCGGACACACTTCAACTGGCTGACTACAACTGCAACTCTGCGAAAAATCAATAATGTCCAAAACATATGGCAAGGAGCGAGCGGGCAGCTGATATGACTGATATGAGAGACGCGGCGCAATGGCATTTTCAACATTAATCATACGTCGCGTGTGCCATGCGACAATTTAATTTTAATTACAGACAAAGCGAAAACGACCCTGAACTTTGAACTGGCGCGTGAACTCGCACCGCGAAGTAAACAGCAAAGAGCAAGAAGACACAAGCAACAACACCATCAAATACCAACAACATCAACAATATGGCCAGCAAGGGCCGCCATCGTAAGGTAAAATAGACAACAATTAAACGTGTTTTTAAAGTTTTTAATGTGCATGTTAAACTAGTTAATTTTTGTCTGCAGAAAATAGCATTTCTGAAATGTTGAAATTTGAAAATTTTGTAGGCTTAAAAAACAAACAAAAGGATAAAGCTAAGATCAGATATAAATCTATCTTTTCTTTATGCTAAACAAATGGGAGGAACATTATTATTATTGATATAAAATGTATTAGTTACAGCTGTTCTTTACTTAGTTTATACTTTGCAGTATTGAATAGATTGAAATCTTTAGCAACTATTTAAATGGAAATTAAGCACAAAACCAAGTTCCAATTTATAAAACAAACATTTGTCGAAGTTCAAAGTTCATAAAACTGCAAAATCGAACTCATATTTACATGAAATTAATTTCAAAATGAGTAAGGATATTATTATTAGATAAGCACTTGACCTTAACAGCTTTGAAGTACAGCTATTTGATCCTATCGCTGCTTAGGCGGCTATTTGAACGTCCTTCGCTGACTAAAAACACGCTTCGGCTGATGGATGATAGATGAACAGTCTGCTGTCCGTTGAATGAGGTGTATTGAGGGGGTTTCTACCAGAAAGGAGAGGTGGAGGGGGGTACACTTCAAAGTGATTGTGCGGGCGTCCCAAAGCAATTAGCATGCAAGGCACAATTGTTGATATATATTTGTTGCTGTATTTATTGGAATTGCGTGCTGCCCGCTTGTGGTTTGCCTTCGTTTGTTTTTTAAGCTGGGAATCGACTCAAGTGTTTTGTTTTTCATTCATAGCTGGGCCAGCGCAGCACGGAGCTCGACACAGAGGCGACAGCAGCGCTGTTGAAATCATCACCAAACATATTGGAGAACTTTGCCTACGACGACTTCCAGGCACAGGCACACGCCCAACTCAAACGGATGGCGACGGTACCGGGACAGGTGAAGAGGCCATCTTCGCCACGTTTCTGTGAGACGCTGGAGCGGCATGCATTCATGAGGAATGTGATAAATACACGGCCGGAGCCACAGCGTCGCTACTCGACGCCCGGGGAGAAGGAGGCGCATGTGCGTCGCAGTCTGGAGGAGATCTCCAATGATATAAAAGAGATTGAGCAATTTGTCAGCGCCACCGAGCAGCTGATGCAGCGCGAAAAGGAACAGGAACTGCAGGCGATCCAAAACCGCAAACGCGACAAGGAGAACAAGACGCCCAGTCCGGCCAAGCGGATTAGCTACAAGATCAATGCCTACAAAGCACCACAGCGTCGCCAGCGTCCACACAGTCCACGATTCTTTCATTCGAGACTCTACTTTCGCAACGGGCGCATTGGTTGCGTGGATGCCGAGCGATCGGGTCAGATCGGCAACATTGAGAGCACCCATGCCCTGGTCAAGCACATACTGAAGCACGAGAAACCTCTTGTCAGTCCGGAAAGTGTGCGGCGTGTGTTGCAGCCACAATATGTGGAGCTAACACCACTACCGGGTGCAGTGGAGGAACCCATAGATCCAGTCGCTGCACGACGGGAGGCGGAATTGCGAAGTGCTACAGGCCAAGTGCTGCTGGAGCCAACAGAGCCGGACAACAGTTCACAGCCCGTGGCGGATGAGGATGAACAGGATGTGCAGATCTGTTACAATGAATCACCGGAGCAGCAGAACAATGATCGCAATATGCGCACCACGCGCTCCTCCTCGCTCAATGAGAGCGAAATCGTTGCCGTTGTCGAGGCAGACACAAATGTGAATCACCGGGCCAGCAGTACCGGCAGCTTGGACTCGCAGGGTCAACAGTTTCTGCGCGATCAGGTGCGTCATTTGGTGCGTCGCTTTACGGCCAGGGCGAACAAGGTTAAGTCACGCATCGAACAGCCACCGACACCGTCATCGAGTAGCGCCAGTTCACCGACACCGCCGCCAACAGCTCAGGGTGCACTGCATGCGAGCACGAAGAGTCTGCATCCATCGCCGGAGCACAAGGTGCGCCTTGTCCCAGCCGGCCAGTCACCGCAACGCGGACGTCTCTTCGAGGCGGACACACCCCGCTCAAATGTCTGGCTCTGCTCGAGTTTGTGTGGCGCCAACAACGATGAGAGAACCCTCGATCCACAGGGCAAGATCTACATATCGTGGCTCTGTGTTGTCTCCCTGTCGTTCCTCTACAATGCCTGGGTCATCCCTTTGCGTGCTTCGTTTCCATTCCAGACCAAGGAGAACACAAACATTTGGCTTGCCTGCGATTTCTGTGCAGATATCATTTATCTGCTGGATGTTGTCTTCTTCAAGCATCGCGTCATGTATTTATTCGAAGGATTTTGGGTGAAAAACAAAAATTTAACGCGCAAAAACTACATGAGAAAATTGCAGTTTAAGGTGAGTCAGACAAACTACTAGCTGCTTTCCAAAGGAGAAAGGATCTGTAAAGTTCCAAGTTTTCCCCACAAAATTAAATTATTCACTTGCATTCCTCAGTTGGATTTGCTGGCCTTGCTGCCCTTGGAGCTATTCTATCTGAAGTTGGGCACCGGCGCTGTTTGGCTGCGTTTTCCACGTTTCTTCAAGATACAAAGCTTCTGGGAGGTCTTCCGTCTCTTGGATCGAGTCATCTCCTCGCCACACTTCGTAAGTTGTGCTCAGATTGTAAACGTGATTATCAGTAATATGTTAAATGCTCCAGGTACGTGTGGCCAAGACGCTCACCTATATGCTCTACATGATACACATAACAGCCGCCTTGTACTACGCCTATAGCGACTATCAGGGCTTGGGGCAGAATCGATGGGTCTTCAGTGGCAAGGGACATCCGTATGTGCGATGTTTTGCCTTTGCCACCAAGACGGCGACTTCAATTGGCAAGAATCCAAAGCCGGAACGGCAGGGCGAATATGTATTCATGACGGTCGCCTGGCTGATGGGCGTGTTTGTGTTTGCCCTGCTCATTGGTCAGATCAGGGATATCATTTCAACGGCGACCAGGAACAGGCATGAGTATCGCCAGCTTGAGGATGAGACACTGGAATATATGCGGCGCTTGAATCTCTCGCAGGAGGTGCAGTCAAGGGTTAAGATGTGGTTTCAATTTACCTGGGAGCAGCAGCGCACTCTGGGTAAGTCTCTAATCTTAAACTTATATCTTATGTCAAGTCTGTAATACAAATAATATATTTTAGATGAGTCCAACATACTGGACGCGCTGCCCATCAATCTAAAGACGGACATTGCCATTTCGGTGCACATACAAACCCTGTCCAAGGTGCAGCTTTTTGCGGACTGTGAGGAGGCGCTGCTTAGGGATCTGGTGTTGAAGCTACGCGCTGTTACCTTCCTGCCCGGTGATTTTGTGTGCCGCAAGGGCGAAGTGGGTCGGGAGATGTACATTGTTAAGCTGGGCCAGGTGCAGGTGATGGGTGGACCCGGCAGCGATGTTGTCCTCGCCACTCTCACTGAGGGTTCCGTCTTTGGTGAGATTAGTCTGCTGGGCATCAATGGCGCCGATCGACGCACTGCTGATGTCCGCTCCAAGGGCTACTCCAATCTCTTTGTGCTCTCCAAATCGGATCTGAACGAGGTCATCGCATACTATCCAACTGCCCAGGCGATACTCAAGAAACGCGCTCGTCAATTAATGCGCAAGAATGCGGCCCGCGAGCGCGAGGAGGAGGAACGTGAACGCGTTCGCAGTGCCCTGCAGGCTGATGTTGTTATCGGCAATCCGAAGACACCGGAGACACCACCAAAATTGCTGCAGACTGTCATCCAGGCGCTGCCGTATGAATCACCCGCCGTGGTGCTCATCACACGTGGCTCGAAGCGGGTGCGTCGCAAGCGGCAATCAGTCCAAATGGAGACGATAGTGGAGCCCACTTTGGATGTGATTGGCATCGCTGAGGCAACCACCGAGCAGGCGGGTAATCGAGACAGTCTGATAATGAAACCAGGTCGGGGCTCCCCGGACTTACTTTCATCCATTCAGCGGGAGCTGAAGCTCATTAATCTGACGGATTCGGAGAAGGCATTGATTATCACACAATCGGCGAATAATTCGATGGAATGCGTGCAGGACGATGTCTAGTCTAATCGAAATATATATATATATTATATGGGCTATATATGTATTAGATCTGCGATATATGTGTACATGTTTACATGCTTTATGGATCCAAATTGTCTAACAATATGCTTTACTTATTAAAATGTAGCTATAAAATACGTTTTGCATTTGACTTTGCTATGAATCCTGGTGGCATATTATAATTATCAACATATCTGGTACTAACTTAACTTATCTTAACTTTTAGCTGATCTTTTTGAAATCGTCATTTCAAATAATTACCGAGTGCTGGGATGATAAAGATGTCATTGTGAAATATGAAATATTATCTTATTTTGTAGAGGATAAATACCTCGAAATACATATATATGGATATATTGATATACGTAAGGACTCCAAGGATGAAATAAAAACACAAATTATAAACAATTTATTTATATTTTTTTTTCAGATTCAGTTTTAATTGACTTTTAATGCGATAACAACATAGTTTGGTCCTGTTATGTGTTTTATACTTTATGTTGTATTCAGTTCTTTTTTCTAAATGTTAGAAATCATTCCATAAACTTACTGAATGACTGACTGTACTTTAATATTAATTTGTAGCTTCCTTGTAGTGCTTCTCGTCATCAGTTTTATCCAGCTTGATGGAGTATTTGCCAATCAGTGAACCCTCCACATCGGCCTGGCCATTGTCATTGAATACGGGACCATTGCCAATTTCTTGCTTCTCCTCTTTCACCACACGATAACCATTCTCATCGGCCTCGTAGTAGACAGTCCGGAATACGAAGCCATCGCTGTATGAATAGGAACCGGTCACCTTTGTGCCATCGCGAGTCTCCTCACGTTGGATTTGTCCATCGTTGATTTTGTCATCGATTTTCGAGGAAAATGAGTATTGGGCATTTTGATTCTGCTCCTGCTCTATCTCCAGTTTTCTCCTCTCCTCAGCTTCATAGTCATCGTCTAACTGTGAATGGCATATATATATGTTAAAGTAACACAATTTCATAGTTTCATATTGTAACTAAATCTAATCTTGATCTTTCTCACTCAAATGAAGTCATTTAATTATTTCAGAATTGCTTTTGATGTACTCGCTGCGAGCTGAACAATATTTATTATAGAGTTAATATTCACAGCTGTCGATAACGTTGAGTTTTCTGAACATGACTGAGACTCTTTGAGTCATTCTTAATTATAATAGACGTAAGTTGAGGGTCTCTCTCAATCTGGAGGTTGCATAATCAAGTTCGTTCCATGTTTTAGTTGTTTTGCATTTTTTTGCGCTTCGCTTGAAGTTGATTTTGTTTTTTTTTTGTTTTCAATTTGTCTTAAATGCATGAGCGGAAATGTTAATTGAATGATATGTCGATCTGTATATGAAGTCTTCGAAATGAGCTACACTAACTAAAAATACATTAAACTCTGCAATATATATTGTAACTGCAAAGATCAGCTTAAGAAATCTACCCATTTCAAAAGTTAAAGTTTGCAATAAATATATAAATATTGTTTCTTTTTATATTAAATTTTTTTCCTTTTTTCTTAATTATATCTAAAATGTGTAGCGTTCTTCTCGATTGTCGCTGGTCGCATCTGATTTTTGGGTACAGTATGCAAATGCAAAGACGAACTGATAACTGGCGTTGTTTTTACATAGTTTTTGTTTTCTTGTTATTGTTTTTAGTTTGCGTTTTTTTTTCCTTTTATTTTTGAATCGCGCGACAAAGCGACAAATAAACAGAAACTGGTTCGAGTAGCAGGCTGAATCGCAGCGGATCGGTTCGGATCGGGTCTGGGCAAAAAGTATAAAGTCGAACCGGCGACAGTCGCAGTTAACTAAAGCAACGAAACGGACGTTCAACGACAACAAAGAAATACTCAAGAAAAATGGGCAAGTACTTGGCGGGGCAGACGGGAGGCTTCCAGGAAACCCATTGATATAACTCTCTCTCTTTGTATTTAATTGTTACTCATTACAGCCAAGTTTATGCTGTTGTTGTTGGCTTTGATTGGCGTCTTTGTGACTTTTACAGTGGCGTCTGGCGGTAAGTCAGGGCCATTAAAATTGGCATTCCATTAGCTTGATGGCTAACACTGGCCAATTGGCCAATTGTAATTTGCAGACTGCCCCTCATCGACCAAGGTGACGAACTGCACGCCCAAATGCCTGCACGACAGCGAATGCAGCGCCATTGGTGGTAAATGCTGTCCAAATCTATGCAATGGACGCAGTTGTGCATCGCCCAACTTGCTGGGCAACTCGGGCGCTAACAGCTCACCCTTTGGCAGCAAGAATTGTGAGTAGCACAACGGGAAACGGGTCATTAAACCAAACTCTTTGCACTGCAATCAATCTGTATCTATTCTAGCTGGCGCCTCGGGCAGCTACTGTGGCAACGTGAAATGCGGCAGCTTCGAGAAATGCGAAACAGATCGCAGCACCAAGCGGCCCAAATGTGTGCGCTCCTAACGGGTGGCTCAGTTCAATGCTCAGCTTGTTTTTTCTCTTAATATATATGCTTGAAATATCCGAAGATTGTGATGTGTTTCACTCACGGGTGCGGCGAGGGCAACGCTGACCAGCAGGCTGGCAATCAACACGAATTTGAACATTTCTTTTCTTTTCAATTTTTTACTTCGTTTTTTTTTTGATTTGTGAATGTTTTTTTTTGGTAGCTTGAACACGAGCTGTGCACGCTGCAAGTTGACTTTTAACTATGGCTTGTTTGCAGCCAGGTTGAGTTGCTTTTATAATACACTTGAAGACACCCGCTTACACACACACACACACACACACACACATTTACTTATGCAGCCAATGGTAGCAGCGACGCCGGCGCAGACAACGCATTTTGGGGCTTTTTAATCTGGCTTTTTGGTTATGGGACACGTTGTTGTTGCTGTTGTTGTTGCTGTTGTTGCTGTTTTTTTTTATGTATTCAGTTTTGCATTTGAGATGCGATTTTTGGCCTTTTGTAATTCAAATTGTATTTTGTACAAATTATATATTGTATACTAAACTGAAGATTGAAGCCCGAAGATTGCATTGCATAACCGCGTCTCAAGGTCAGCTGGTCCAGCTGCGACTGTGAACCAGTTTCGGGCTGATCCCTTAAGAGCTGGAAGAGCTGCTCGCATTTTTTTTTTTTATCTTTCTTTCTTTTATTGTTTACTTTTAATGGTCTTTTTTGTATTGTTTTATTTATCTTTTCTGTTTTTTTTTTTTTCGGTCATCTTATGTAATTTATGTGCAAATTGAAAGCCTCGATAGTGCGCGTCTTATGTACTATTTTGTGTATTGTTGCTGTTGTTGTTGTTGTTGTTGCCACAATTTTGGTTTACATATTTTTGGTTTTGCGCTTACGAGGAAGTAAGCGGAGCATTACGTTGTCTGTGGGGCACCCTTTTGAAAATGCGACGCCATAACAATTCAACAGAGCAACGGCAACAGACTTAAGACTGGGCGCTCTGCAAATGGGGGCAGGAGACAGACAAAGAGAGAGAGTGAGAGAAAGAGAGAAAGAGACACGAGCAATGCAATTTTTGTTGTTGTTGTTGTCGTTGTTGCTGTTGCTGTTGTTAAGTGCCTCTGCCACGCACAGTGTTCCGAACGAGTTTTATTTTTCTCTGGCAAAAAATAACAGCTGAAGAAGATAATAATTTCAGTCTCTATGCCAAGATACATACATACATATTTGCATTTGAAGTGGTTCTCAGAACTAGACCTGGTTGGGCGACATCATAAATAAGCATAATTATGATTTCATTTGAATTTTAGAGACGCTAAGAATTAAGAAGAAGAACTAGAAGCTACAATTCACCAAATCTGTTAAAGGTTAATTGCATAGACTAAATGAAGACCTTAACAAACCTATTGAATTTAATTGACTTAATTAGTAGATTTCTTTAGATGCCTCAATTGCTTTATTATCGTTTTATTACATTATATAACTTGGTTCAAGGCAATCCGCCAGCAAACTGTAGCGAATTTTAAAATGAGATTTTTTATATATATATATATATATTTTTTTGTCTTAAAATGAGCTGCTTGCGAATCAAACTTGAATATATTATTATAATAAGATGGAAAGTAACAGTATTCGGAACTGAATATATAATGGTGAAATAAAGAAATGTCGCCGACACTGAAAACGTGACTCAGCTTTCCATTAGAATATTCTTATTAATTTTTATAACATTTTCATTTAATGGTTACATTCAGTATGCAAGGCATACTTTGGCACATGGCCAAATATGTAATTGTTGTGTTTGGGTATAGCTCGAACCACTGTTTAGTGGTACTACATCCGTTCGTACCACTTTCGTTTCGTGACTCTTACCCCATTCACTTGGCTTTCCATATGCTTGGCCATGTCTTGTGGTCTTAAATAAAATAGTTTTTGGTTTGTTTGCTTCGTTTTTAATTTTTTTTGTTGTTTTTTTTTTTTGCTTCCATCTTCAATGGAGCATCCGCTTTTTGTGTGCATGTAACTAATAGGGAATTTAGTAATATTTGTGTTTATCTTATTTTGATTGGGTGCTTTGGGTGCCGCTGCACTGGCACTGACTTCGTTTGATATCGAAAAACTAGAGTCAAAAAACCCATAAAGACAAGTTTTGCCTTAGTTGTTGTTGCTGCTGCTGCTGCTGTTACTGCTGCTGCTGTTGCTGTTGTTGTTGCTGCTGCTGCTGCTGCTGCTGCTGTTGCTGTTGCTGCTGCTGCTGCTGTTGATGAAATCAATACGAAGCTCTCAAGGTGAGAGACCGCACCAAGTTGTCGTACACGCAACGCCCCACACCATCATTCCCATCATCATTATTATAATCATTATCATCGTCATTGTCATCCCCGTAATCATCATTAAAATTTCTGTTGGTATTTTACTGATAATTTTATAATTATAATTTTTACCCCCAATGATGGCCAATATCACGATCAAGTCGTGGGTCTAAAACCATTGATTGATTACGTTTGCTGCGTCTAACACGCACACACTCGCACACACACACACGCACACACTCGCACACACACACACACGCACACACACTCGCACACACACACACACGCACACACCTAAATACGCCAACGCGCTGCTGTTGAAAATTTATGGCTCTATTTTGAGGCAGCCTTCACAAATTAGCACGCTAATTTGCATATGCTGGACGCATCTGCAGCTCGGGGCAATGTGGGCCTCTCTCTCAACATGGGACGGGCTTTCAAGTCTTTGGGTGTTATATTGACAAATTGGTCGGTTCGCTTTTTTATCATCGCCTTTTTTATGTAAATGATTATTTTTTTTTGTTTGTATTTTTCGGCATCTCTCATTTTATTTTTGTAAGCTTTTTTTCCAGCCATTTATTTAGCGATTTGACATGCTCAACAACAGCAAAATATTATATTATTTATTATACACATTAATTGGCCATAGCTATTCATTTATTCAGCTTTTTGGGGAATTAGCTGATGGACATTTATTAGTCTTTACATTGACCTTTCTTTGAATTTGTGATTGACACGCTGAACTTAATTCCAATAAATGTGAGCATCTCTTAATAAAGTTTTTGTAAAGATTATGATATTGAACTAAAGAAACTTCAGCTGTACAACAATCATGTCTTAAAAAGTTAAACAAGTGAGAGTGTTTGACCCAGAATCGGATGGCAAACCAATTTGGAACTTCCCAAAATGAAATCAATACAAAAAATCGAATTGTTGGCAAGCGAAAAGATATTAAATTTTAAAGTGAACTTTTAACTGACTGACTCTACGTGTTAATAACCGATTGTAAATTGAGTATTTGGAGGGCAACATTTAAATTTCAACAGTTTTTGCTATACAAAAATGTTTAAGCTTATCAAAGATAACATCGAATTCACACTGGTTCAGCGCAACCACACCCTGCCAGTCCCCTGCCATTGGAGACGTCACACATATCATTTGCACAAATGTTTGAGCAAATATTTGTGGCACTCCATTTGGCAGTCGACCAACGCACTAACCAGCCAATTTACAAAGCCATTTTGCAAGTTTGTACACTGTATGAAGGAAGTGGAGTAAAAATCGCTGCCTTTCTATATGCAAATGTGTGTGTCTGTGCATAATGTGCTGCTTATTTTATTGCATTCCTTTGGCACGCACGCAGACCCAAGTTTCAGTAGCTATCTTCAATGTCCTTCACAGCTTTTGGGTTGCGCATACGCCGCATTGTCCTTGAATTGGGTGGCATGCTGTCATCGTGCTGACAGTGACAGTCACAGTTCCACACAATCATCGCCATCGCCATCGAGTCAGCCAGTTCTGTTGGCAGCGCTTTAAGTCGCAACTCAACTGGAAATTTATGCGTTTTGCATATAAATCTATAATAGTCCACTCTGCATATGCATACATATTTTATTGACCCATTTAAGTTTCAATTTGAGCAGGTCAATAATAAAATAATACATACAACAAATTGTGTCAAGCAATGCGCACAAATGTGTGATGAAATCGGTAATCAGGTGTGAATTATTCAATTATATTACATATTATTATGTTATGGTTAATAATAAATAAATAAATAAATAATTGCATTACATCATAATGAAATCAACCGGAATCAAGTGTATTTTTTGCCACATCATTTTTACCAAGAAACAAGTTATTCAGTTATTATTATATAGACTGCAAAATGATGACTAAGAAAGTATTGCTCTTAAAAATCAGTTCAGTTTTGCCATAGTTATGAACTTTGTAAATGTTTTGCATAGTTTTCACTGAAAAATGGCATCTTTTTCTATTTGTTCTGTTCTTACTGACTTGTGCAAATTGGTCACGATTTCATTTTCTAGTTTTTCGAGTGCACTTTTGTGCGCGTTGACCATTTGTTGGCTTGTCCTGTTGCCTGACTTAATTAACGCCGACTTACTCATGCAGCAGCCCAACCCAATTCGCTCGACTTTTGCCTCCGGTTGTTGCACAAACTAATGTTGCTTTGTCGCTGTTGGTGCGTTTGATAATTACTTTAGATAACTTATGTTGGCTGGCGCGGTTTTTAGTTTTGCATTGGTTTGGCCCATTGTTGTTTCTTGCTTGGATATGCAGCCATTATATGGCTTATCAGCAGGCATGCACATAAGCCACTGTTGGAGCCACAGCTCATCGCTGAGCTTTACTGCTACGACTATATAGTTATTTTTTGTTTGTTTACCAACTTTCTAGGTTAAGTGCTTTTGTAAGCCTTGGGGTAGGTCAGCGCAAAAAGAGCTGTAACAGAAACAGAGAAAATGGATCGAAGCGAGCGAAACTTTGAATATTGTGTGACTAATCCAATTATTTTAGACGCAAGATGTATGATTAGCTTTATATATATATATATATATATCTCTTTTTGTTTCTTTGAGTAGACATTTTATTTTTATACTCCAATAAAGAAGGTATTCTTGTTCACTGGTATTCATTGTATGCAATTAATTACATTTTTAGTGTTTATATTATTTTTATACCATTAACAACTTTTACAACTTTGAGAATTTTTGTCTCCAATTAATGAAATGAATAAAACATATTGAGATGTTCTGTCATCAGACATGTTTAACGCATTCATCACTAAATTATAAATTGATCGAAAAAGTCTTTAAGTCAAAATTAAAGCTGAGTTGGCTG